TGTGTTTGTTCCTACCTGCATCAAATGTGTTTGTTCCTACCAATTGTGTTTGTTCCTACCTACACCAAATGTGTTTGTTCCTACCTGCATCAAATGTGTTTGTTCCTACCTGCACCAAATGTGTTTGTTCCTACCAATTGTGTTTGTTCCTACCTACACCAAATGTGTTTGTTCCTACCTACGCCAAATGTGGTTGTTCCTTCCTACACCAAATGTGTTTATTCCTACCTGTACCTACACCTAATGTGTTTCTTCCTACCTACAACAAATGTGTATGTTCCTACCTATACCAAATGAGTTTGTTCCTACCTACACCAAATGCGTTTGTTCCTACCTAAACCAAATGTATATGTTCCTACCTGTACCTACACCAATTGTGTTTGTTCCTACCTACACCAAATGTGTTTGTTCCTACCTGCATCAAATGTGTTTGTTCTTACCTGCACCGAATGTGTTTATTCCTACCAATTGTGTTTGTACCTAACTACACTAAATGTGTTCGTTCCTACCTACACCAAATGTGTTTGTTCCAACCTGTACCTATACCAAATGTGTTTGTTCCTACCTACACCAAATGTGTTTGTTAATTCATACTTGCACCCAATGTGTTTGTTCCTACCTGCATCAAATGTGTTTGTTCTAACCTGCACCAAATGTGTTTATTCCTACCAATTGTGTTTGTACCTAACTACACTAAATGTGTTTGTTCCTACCTACACCAAATGTGTTTGTTCCTACCTGTACCTATGCCAAATGTGTTTGTTCCTACCTATACCAAATGTGTTTGTTCATACCTATACCAAATGTGGTTGTTACTACCTACACCAAATGTGTTTATTCCTAGCTGTACCAAATGTGTTTGTTCCTACCTACACCAAATGTGTATGTTCTTACCTACACCAAATGTGTATGTTCTTACCTAAACCAAATGTGTTTGTTCCTACCTATACCAAATGTGTTTGTTAATATCTACACCAAATGTGTTTATTCCTACCTACATCAAATGTGTTTATTCCTACCTATATCAAATGTGTTTATTCCTACCTATTCCTACACCAAATATGTTTGTTCCTACCTATACCAAATGTGTTTGTTCCTACCTATACCAAATGTGTTTGTTCCTACCTACACCAAATGTGTTTGTTCTTACCTACACCAAATGTGCTTGTTCCTACCAAAACTATATGTGTTTGTTCCTACCTACACCAAATGTGTTTCAAATTGTTCCTACCTACACCAAATATGTTTATACCTACCTGTACCTACACCAAATGTGTTTGTTCCTACCTACACCAAATGTGTATGTTCCTACCTATACCAAATGTGTTTGTTCCTACCTACACCAAATGTGTTTGTTCCTACCTATACCAAATGTGTTTGTTCTTACCTATACCAAATGTGGTTGTTCCTACCTACACCAAATGTGTTTCAAATTGTTCCTACCTACACCAAATGTGTTTATTCCTACCTACACCAAATGTGTTTGTTCCTACCTACACCAAATGTGTATGTTCCTACCTATACCAAATGTGTTTGTTCCTACCTACACCAAATGTGTATGTTCCTACCTATACCAAATATGTTTGTTCCTACCTACACCAAATGCGTGTGTTCCTACCTATACCAAATGTGTTTGTTCTTACCTACACCAAATGTGTTTGTTCTTACCTACACCAAATGTGTTTGTTCTTACCTACACCAAATGTGTTTGTTCCTTCCTGTACCTACACCAAATGTTCTTGTTCTTACCAACACCATATGTGTTTGTTCCTACATATACCAAATGTGTTTGTTCCTACCTACAACAGATGTGTTTGTTCCTACCTATACCAAATGTGTTTGTTCCTACCTATACCAAATGTGTTTGTTCTTACCTATACTAAATGTGTTTGTTCCTACCTATAACAAATGCGTGTGTTCCTACCTATACCAAATGTGTTTGTTCCTACCTGTACCAAATGTGTTTGTTCCTACCTATACCAAATGTGTGAGTTTTTACCTTCCATATTTGACTTTTTTCCATTTACTGCATGCCTCGTGCCTTACAGTTGAATGGACAGTAAACAATTCGTTGTTTTAAGCAATCGCCAATAATCTGTTTTATTATATGTTTCCTGTTATGTAAACATTTATTGGGGCTGTTGTGTCGTCATTGAGTAATAAAAATTTCGACTTGTGTACCAGGTGATATGTTAGGCAAGGTAATTTAGTCTCATGTTTTATGATTTTATTAACCCGTTAAAACCATATATTTTCAAGAAAAAAACATATTTCGGTTGTGAACATTTTAGCGAATTGATGGGATATTTTAGCACCAATGTCTTCTTCTCCTTCCAAATTCTGCCCACATTCAACATGATGAATATTCTGGCAAGTTGCGCATGATTAAAAACAGGTTAAAAACAGGATAAAAACAAATTGTTTTGTTGATTTAGTTTGTGGTTTTGTCACTTGAGACTTGAATATCTCAAGAGACTTTTGCTTTGGCGGTATCTGGTGGCAGTTTGTTCCAATCCTTGACGGTGTTTATGAAGAAGGACCATTTCCTACAGTCTTTGGTGGCTGGCTGTAATAGGTAAGTATGTTGTCCTGTCCGGTTTGAGCTTCTTGTTGGTTTTTGTAGATATTTATTCTTGTCTATGGCTACAAGGTCGTTTGTTATTTTGTAACTCATGATGAGTCGTGCTTCTTTTCGTCTTGATTGTAAGCTTTTCCATCCTAAATCATTTATCATGTTGCTGACACTTGATCTATTTCTATGTCTGCTGGTTACATATCATGCAGCTCTTCTTTGTACCTTTTCAATTTTATCTATGTGGTTTTGCTGGTACGGGTCCCATACTGTCGTGGCGTATTCCATTTGCGGTCTTACTAATATTTTATAGGCATGCTCTTTGATGGATTTGCGATGGTGCAGCCTAGGTATTTAGTTGATGTTTCATGCACCAGAGTATGACCGTGGAGTTTATAGTCCCACTTGATTGGCTTTTTCTTTTTTGTAACTGTGAGGACACTGCATTTTTCAGGATGGAACTCCATTTTCCAGAGATCTTCCCATTTTGCCAGATTGTCCAGGTCTTCTTGGAGTGTATGGCAGTCGCTGTCTGATGAAATTGTCAAATAGACCACAGTATCGTCCGCAAACAGTCTCACTGTGGAGTGTAAGCCTTCTGGTAGGTCGTTGATGTAAAACAGAAAAAGACTGGGTCCTAATACTGATCCTTGCGGTACTCCGGATTCTACTTTTACTTTGTCAGATGTTTCGCCTTCAACAACTACTACCTGGGTTCTATTGGTGAGAAATTCCTTTATCCATTTGTTTGTTTTACTTCGGGTGCCATAATGGTGTAATTTATGGAGGAATAAGCTGTGGGACACCTTATCAAAAGCTTTTGAAAAGTCAAGTATTAGCAGATCTGATTGTTTTCCGTTTTCCAGGTTTTTTGTGATGTCATCAATACATTCAAGGAGTTGTGTTTCGCATGATCTTTTACTTCTGAAGCCGTGTTGTAGTTGGTATAGGATGTTATTTACCTCTGCATGTTTCATGATGTTACTGGTGACTATATGTTCTATCATTTTGCAGCAAATACATGTTAGGGATATTGGCCTATAGTTAGCTACTATGTATTTCTGGCCTTTCTTATATGCCGGAGTGACATTTGCAGTTCGCCAGTCGTCGAGTATCATGGTTGCTGTTGTACATTTCTTTTCTGTAGAATAATTATAGTTTTTCAACATAGTTGTTAAAAAATCGCATTTTAAGGTCTATATGATTGGACTAAAATCAGCTTAGATAACAGGTGCCACATGTAAAGTAGGACCTTCTTACCCGTCCAGAGCACTTGAGGTCAACCCCAGTATTTGAATTGTTTATGTAATGTTTTGTAGACGGGTCTACTTTTCTTGTTTTTTTTGCTGTGATTCGATCATCTCTCTCCCAATAATGAGTTTTGATTCTACTTCTTTTTAGAGAGAGAAGTGATCTTAACGACCGATTCTAGTTTCATTGAGGCTGAAAACTCCTATAAGGAGTCTTCTGATAATTTTTGTGAAATGCAGAGTTAGTTGTTCTATACATTGAGAGCATAATGTACACTTCACCAAATATAGTTGACCCTTTGCTTATGGTATCTTAGAAACAGCCCTAACCATGAAAAAGAGGTCAGATAAAACCTGCCAGACAGACATGTGCACCTTACAGTCATTCCATATTTAGTTGACTTATAGAATCTGAAAATGGACTTTTGTATGCACCTGTCCTAAGTCAGGAGCCTGTTGTTCAGTGGTGGTTGTTTGTTGATGTGGTTCCTATTAAAGGGTTTCTTTTTTTTTATATAGATTAGACCGTTGGTTTTCCTGTTTGAATGGTTTTACACTAGTCATTTTGGGGCATTTCATAGCTTGCTGTTCTGTGTGAGCCAAGGCTCTGTGTTGAAGGCCGTACTTTGACTTATAATTGTTAACTTTTTACAAAATGTGACTTGGATGGAGAGTTGTCTCATTAGTACTCATACCACATCTTCTTATTTCTTGTTAGGATTAAAATGAAGGCTGGAAAATTTTTAAGGGATTTGGTCTTAAGGGTCCACAACAGTGTTTCTGCTAGTTTTGATGTATAGCATTTAATTTTTGTTGCAGAATGTGAGACATACAGTTTTTAATCAAGTGATTGCATAAACTATTTGTATAAAGCTTAATATTTCTGAGTGAAAGGATAACTACATTTAGTCTTCTACCTTCAGAAATATTAAGCTTTATACAAATACGGTAGATTGTGTTTTGAGGAGTGCCTGCTCCATTGTAGCTAGATTACATGGACTGATCAGTAGAAAGTAGAAAATGAGCTAGGGTAGTATGTGCTTCTGAGTAAAATCTGGTTTTCAGAAATTTCCATAATTTTTCTATTAAATTATGACAGGATTTTCCTTGATTTCACATTTAAAAGACAATTAGTGGATAAACTTCCTGAAATCAAATGGCAGAACAAAAATTAAAAATGTCATTTAAAAATTTATTAATATGCTTTTAAGAATAAAATGATGTTCTGAACAGCTGCTATAATATGTGGGGAAACAGACAAAATAAATAATGCCTTTTCAAGGCGACATTAAAACAACCATAAAATGTATGAAAATTTGCTTGTGACAACTACAGAAAGTTTATGACAGGACAGTTTAGCAGAATGACTAATTTTTCTTCACACTAATAATGATTAAAATCTGAGATTACTCGTTACCATGTACCACGAATATCAATTAATATGATATAACTCTTTTTTTATAGTAAAGTATTCCTTTATCTTGAGAAACATAAAAAAATAGCAAAAGGTATTTGATGTGATTAACAAAAACTCAATAATGGCATGGGTGTGAAAATTTGTCATTCTGCTACTGAAGAAGTACATCTTTCAATATTATTTGTGAAATATATTGTTTTAGGTAAAAACAAAATGTATGAGTAAAAGTAGTCCTCACTTTTCTAATAACGAAACGAATACAAACTGCTTTAGAATAACATGTATTAGAAACAAGAACAGATCTCACTGATTCGTTGGCTTAAAATAAATTCTTGACAAAAACTTCATAAAAAATAAACTTTTAAGAGATCAGAAGAATGTTGCAGCCTTATCACCTACAAAAGACTAACAGCAAGATAGAAGGCTTTATCTGTTTGCAAGCTTCAAAATCTATGCTACATGTACATCTATTTTAAAACATAAAGCAAATTCAAGTGAAACAAGCATTGAGCAAAATGCAACATAAAATAGTCTATATAAATAATTTGTAAATCTTCTTTGTCAAATAATTTCTTGTGGTAAAAAACAGAAATTTCTTTTGACCAAAGACAAATTTGCAAATTCATAAAATTTGTTATAACTACATTTCTATACAAAAACAAATTTATTTGTATAATTATCATCAACTGTTTACCGGCTGCCTCCCACACAACATTGATTCATAAATAAAATAAGCATTTTCAAATAGAATTATAAAAGAAATAAGAAAATGCACTTTTTTTGTAAAACATTAGAATTCAATAAAAACTATAAAATGATATATTCAGTAACAATATATCTATGTATAATATTTTAATATTTCATCATGTATCATATTTTCATTACTATTTCCATTTTCAGTGGTATGTGATCGATCCCTCTTATGAATACAATTTTGTTTTTAATTATTAAAATCCTCATTTTCTTAAATAATTTTAACAAAAATATAATAAAAATTTCTAAATCTCAATTTTCCTTTAAAATTAAACTGAATCAAACCTAAATGACTTTTGCTTCATGGATAAATGAAAACTAATGAATATTCAGGTTCAGAACCTCATTTCTTAAAAGGATCATAATATATGTCTTCATCACAAATGTGTTGATCAACGAAAGATAAAAAATAAATGGACTAAACATATATAAAACAAATGCATGATAAAAATGGATTTTTCTTTACAATTGATGAGCTATACAAAATATGTCATGATTTATCTATAATGATGTTAAAACAATAAAACTAAACACTTTCACATATAAATTATTGCATTTATAACCAGACTGGATTAGAAAAAAATGAACAAATGAATGTTATTATGAAAAAAAAATGTTTATAACAATCCTGAATAATTCCCCAGAAACCACACTTTTCATAATTTATTTTACAGAATTCTAAGCTACTGAAGGCAGTTAATATGACAGACACAACTACACTTAAACAGACAATCCTGGTATACTTATCAAATGAAAATATGAAACAATCAAATAAAACTATAAAACTGCTTATAATTTCAAATGTCCATTAAAATAACACTAACTGATTATAATTAACTTGGGAAAGGGAAGGTTGTTATTACATTTGACTTTTTTCTTTCTAAACCAGTCTGGTGCTGTGGTTTAGTACCACCAGTACAATATAACAGGCCAACATCTTATATAAAGAGCAATAAAACAAGTCTTTAGGCACTAAATGATCCTCTGTCTCTTCTGAAGCACTCCATTCAACACTTGCACCCTAAAATCAAATATAAACAATTAGGTCAATTTATGTTCTACGTATAAAGATCTTCAATAGAAAGGCTTGCCCAAATATAGCCTTTTATGCATAAAGCAAACATTTATCAATCAGCAGAAAAGTAAACTGCTAGAAAATTGTATTTTCATTTTTATTCTACTTATCAAAATTAGATCTAAAATACTGTCTTCAAAGAGACAGTGAAGCTAAATATAAACTGGCATCAGTAATTCATTATATCAACTCGATATACAAGTAATGATCAACTGTGTTCACATTTTGTAGTGCCCATACTTTAGATATAATTCTTCAACTTGAAGCCCTTGGAATAATTTAAACCATAGTCTGGTTTAAACTGCATTGTTCAGAAAACAATATCTCCCACTAAACTATCCCATGAGGTCTTATGCACTAGTTTTTAAACTTGACATCCTTGCTTTATATAATTTTCATAAATCCTTTAAAAATAGTTGATCAGCACTCACCAGACATTGCTGATTTTTTTTAATCTGTCAAGAATTGCATACTTGAGAGCACTTACAATGCAATTTCCTATAGAATTTATATATTTTGAGGGACATAACTCCGGTAAAAAAATAATTTATCAGTGCTGATTTTCTGACTCATCCCAGACATTGCTGATATTATGATATAACCTATCTTTCTATCATTAATAGTAATTACATATAGCTAGATTCCAATAACAGATATTAAGTAAAACTTTCCATACCTATGATGATGTTTCTATTTTTCTACTTCTTCAATTTGTCTCATGCATTCTATTCTTTCTACTGACAAATCTGGATTCATTTCTGTTACTGAACGGATAGCTTCTGCTAAGAGCTAAAATCAAATAATATAACACATTAGTTTATTGTTAGTATAATAACACTTAGCAATTTGACTAGCAGAATATAACAGTATAATAATCACTATGGAATATATACAGCACATTATAAATTCTTTTTGAAACTGTCTGGCATCTTTCATAATTCATTTCAATTAGTTTGGGCTAGTAACAAATGTTTGACCACATCATTTCCCAAGGTCAATGTCAGTACCAAGTCTAAGTATGACAGTTGATTTCCAGTGGTTTTATTCAATTCTGTGGTTATATTTGCTGGTTTTGGCTTTGAACTTTTCTTGAAATATGGTAAATTTTTTCAGTTTTTGAGAAGGGGAAGGGGTTTCTTATTTTTTAATGAATAATTAAATGCAATCACAACAGGCATCTGGGTACAGGACATTAATATTGTATTTGTCATTGTCTGACCTAAATATTTAATTTTTCTATCTTAATTCCACAAACAAAGCCCTACCTCATGTGTGTTACCGAGTTTTGAGTGAATTCATCAACTCTGATGCAACTCCTTATTTAAAAAGCCACTGGCAACATCTCAACATTAACACTTGCCTTTTGGTTATTTTGATAGTTAAATACAAATGTTGATATGAAAATGACAATACTTTAACGTGTAAGCTGTGCAAAATATTCAAAGTCAATGAACCATGACTGAAGGTACAGGGCCAATCAATCTCCATGGAAATAAGATGTGGCAATGCTAATACAACTACATACCAAACATCATTGACCTACCACTAATAGTTCCCCATAAACTGACCTAATCACAAACTAATACATGTAAACTAAGCAAAAGTTTCAAAGTCAATAGACCATGACTGAGGGGGCGGGGCTTAATAATCTCCATGGAAATGAGATGTGCCAATGCTAATACAACTGCATACCAAATATCATTGACCTACCACTAGTGGTTCCCCATAAACTGACCTAATCATAAACTTATACATTGTTGATGCCACAGCTGCCACCACCGCCGCTGCCTGAAACAGCATACCTATGTCTCGCTCTTTTACTCCATCAAGGCGAGACAAAAAATCACTGGCACTATGTCAACCTTTCATGTAAATTTCAAATTTTTTGTGCCAGAAATTTTCATTTTCAAATCCAAGGGACTCGACTTTTCCTGATCTTTTACCAAAGGGATATAAAATTTTCAGAGAGTTCATTTGAGAATCTTACATCATCATGATCTAAATCATCATCATCTCCTTCATCTGTTATCACAACCTTTTTCTCCACCCGTGTTTCTACCTTGCCATCTTTTTCTGTTTTATACTGTAAAACAATTAAAAATAGTATTACAAACATTGCCACAGTATTAAGAATAATCTGATCAAAACATACAGCTAAAAGCTTTTTGTATTTCAATGTCAATTTCCAACTCAAAATTGAAATGGTAAAATATGAAACGCAGCAAATATAAGTGGTACACAAATATAACAGTTCCTACCAATTGATATAACACAATCAAATATTAACCTATGTTATTGACCTGAATATTTTTAATGCTTTTCAAATTGTAGCAGCTTTAAAGAGGCCTGTCTAATAATTGGTTTACAGCCATATTAATGGTATACCTTAATGGTATATCTGTTAAATTCAGTACTGAACATCATTATCTCCAAGACAAATTCAAAAAATATATTTTTAGGCAGTAATGGTGTTATACTAAATTGCAAGAAAGTTTCAAAATAAAGTTGAATTTTTAAAATGTGAATATTTCACATAAAAAAACCTCATTAAATCATATATGACATTGTTATATCTATTAAGCATGCTAACACTGTTATACAAAGCAATTAGCTACTAATATCTGAAAAAGAAAGGAAAAGTTTCAATTTATCAAGATCTAAATGCATTTATAATAAAATTACTTTGAATTCTCACTTATCCTCTGTAAAATAACTTTTCTTTTTAAAATGAAAATACAGGAAAAGTTATTGAATCTACAAGATTTAAAACTATTTTTCAGATACTTTTAGGATAAAATTAAATGTTAGTAAAAATTACTAAAGCATTTAACAATCAAACAGTGTATTCTGAAATATCTGACAACATCTATTTTACCGATTTATACTACATTAAACAATATTTTGCGATTGTCATTTGAAATTACTTTTTTACTTCCCAAAAAAATGAATCATTGCAGAAAATATTATTTATTAGAGCAAATAATAGCATTTATGCTACATTATCTTTATCTCTTAAAATAACATTTTATAATTCTAAAAAAATATGCAAAATCTAACATTTTAATTAGTTTTCTAAAAATTATAAATAAGATAAAAAAAAAAGAAGCTGCAAGTCTCAATATTTAGCATCAATGCATCAAACTGATTCCAAGAAATTTAGGAGCAAAGAAAAGGGGTATGAAAAAGGTTTTCCCGTGCCACCACTATGATGAATGATCGAAGTACAGTTGTTTTCCACACCAGAAAAACTGCTTTTAAAGAAAAAAAAAATTTCTAATATTTTAATGTTCAATTGAGTTTCTGTGAATATATGCCGCATTAACATTGTAATTTTTGGGGAAATACAGAAATTATAATATTTCATCGATCTTTCCTCAATCATTAGGTTATGAAATTACTTCTGTATATGGTAAACAAATAACAGCTTGGTAGTACACATCTTATTTGGAATAATATTGTAGGCTTCATTGAAAATAATTCTTAAGCACAAAATTGGCAAAAAATATTCATGAAAATATCCAACTTTTCTAAACCAAATTTCAATGATGTTTTACTTGAATGAAAGTTCCAGATTTGAACATGTGTTTGTTAAATTATGATTCGAACACAATTTTATCTTGTTCCTTTTTTAATATTTTGAAAATTGGGGAAAAAAAAGTTTCTGTCAACATATTTTCCAAATAAAATGTCCAAGATATTTAAATGAGTGTCTTAATGAATGTCATAACAAATGGACTCCCAAGATCTAGTCTTCAAAGTTAAGCACCTTAGAAAAAGTTTCATTGATCTGATTTTTATTGCTTGGAGATTACAGAGACTAAGGCTGTTATATTTTGGATCACAGATCAAGCTAATGAATATATTTCTGAAAAGGAACCACTGCAATATCAATTAAGAATTGAATGCTTCTTTTTGTAAATTCATTGGGGTGTAAAAGCGTTGACCGAAGTACATTTTGTATGAAGCGCGAGATCGACGCTTTTACAACCCTATGAAATTACTAAAAGAAGCATTCAATACTTATAATTACATTTTTTCGCTATGATCATGAAAACACGATTACTATCATTTTTTTTTCTTTTATTTACCTGCGCACTTTATTGTAGAAACGTGTGTCATCATGTATGTTACAATTCATGAAATTCATTTTGAAATGAAGAATGACACGAGATTGCTGTTAGCCAATCAAAATAACGTATAATAATGAAACATACATCTAATGTAATTATTCAACTATAGACTGATTTGTTCCAAATGTTTAAGGAGTTTTTAAAGATGATAAGATCAAGAAAGTTTACATATGAACAGTGCTGCAAGACTATAAATTGTGGTTTTAAGTAATGACAAAATAATTAAATGTCAATTAAACAGAACTCAACAGTTACTTTTAAATATTTCTAGAAGCCCCTCTATATGGTGCCTTAGCAACCAAGGCCTGGAGCGTGTTTAATGTCTTGTAATAATAAACTGCTTCGCTGAGCGCAGCTAGATACGCCCGCAAAGGTCCAACCCTGAACAGTTGGGGCAAAAATGGACACAATATTCAAGCTTGATACAGGTCTGAACTTGGATTGTATTAAATATTTGACATATTATAGGTTTCTGAATAAATGTAGTCAAAGAACTTGAAATTGGTTATATGAATTGAATTTATATTCAATTAAAGATTTCTTTCTGTTGTGCAATACACTGTGCTGTTGCGCAATACTTAATAAATCTGTTGTCAGACTATAAACAAATAAAGTTCAATTAATTCTCAATGTCATATTAGAAATTTATGAAAATGTAAAGGGAGCTTACATCAATAGATATAAACAATTCACCAAAGTTTCATGAGAATTGCTGACAGCATTTTTGAGGTATTGTCCGAAAACTGGAAAATCCCCATTTTTTTAATGAATAAAACCCCATAACTCAGAAATGTAAAATGTAAAATTTATAAAATTCTAAACGGAGCTTACATCAATAGATATAAACAATTCACCAAAGTTTCATACGAACTGCTGAAAGCGTTTTTGATTTTTTTGTCCGAAAACTGGAAAATCCCCCTTTTTTTATGAATAAAACCCTGTAACTTGGAAACGTAAAATCTAAAATATATAAAAATTGAAAGGGAGCTCATGTCAATAGATATAAACAATTCACCACAATTTCTTGCAAGTTGGTGAAAGCATTCTTGAGTTATTGTCCGAAAACTGGAAAACCCCCCTTTTTTTAATGAATAAAACCCCATAACTCAGAAACGTAAATTCTAAAATTTATAAAAAACGAAAGGGAGCTCACGTCAATAGATATAAACAATTCACCAAAGTTTTATGCAAATTGGTTAAAACGTTTTTGAGTTAATGTCCGACATGTTGAGGACGGACGGACAGACGGACAAGGGTATACCATAATACGTCCCGTAAACGGGCATATAAAGACTATATGAAATTAAAATTTCTTCCTAAATTTTATTCTATTGTTAGCTGCTGTGAACTTGATCCTTGAAATTGAAACTTCAAAGAACCAATTCAAAACAAATTTCCTTCAAACAAATTGAACTTTATATTCTATTGTATATTAGTTTACTATGACCTGAAACATTGATCTAGTGAACTTATAAAAGAGAGGTAGAATATACCAAAGGGATTTTATTGAAGTAAGTCATGGTCATTGCTTCCAAAGAGGCAATATCCAAGTTTGGTCAAGATCTAACAGATGGCTCTGAAAAAATATGAACGCTAAAATGCTGATGCTTTTTTAATTCTATATATTTATTAACATTCCAGTTTGCATAATGCAACATGCTGATTTTGTTACTGCATTCTCCATTATACTAAAGTTAAAGAAAAATATAAACATACAAAGAGCAAAAAAAAAAATGTTAGTAATTAAGAAACCACAGTCTGCCTATACTGAAGAACTTACTGTGGTAGTTTCAATGGTTTGTGTTCGTGTACTATGGGACTGTGAACTTATCAGGATTCCATCTTCCGTTTCATAAGGATTACCGTCTTTTTCATATGTAACTGTTTGTGTTTTTGTCTTTACAAAAGGAACATTTTTCGTTGAAATAGGGATGTCATCCGTATTATTTTCATAAGTAAAACTTTCTGTAGGAATAGTTGGTGGCTGAAAAACAGAAAGATGGAATCTGCTTGAAGCTTACTATAGGCAGCGCAAGAACCTTTAACCTGCTGATAAACAAATATACTTGGCAGAGAGACAGAAATTGTTTAATCTAAACAGTGCCACAAATGCTCATGGAGAAATGTAGCTCATAAAAGCCAAAAACAATGCATAACACTAGCCATTAAAACCTGAAATAAACCATTCCAACAGCAAAAGCCAGGGCAAAATCAAAACATTCCTAAAAGGGAAATAACTCTCTGTGATCAAAATCACATCATTAAATTAACTTTGAAAAATAAACTCTTTATCAAATATCATTAAATTTTAATGTTCTACCAACAGATTGGATAAAATTCTATAATATTTTGTTTACTGACTGTGGTACCTACATGACAGAGACAACCAATCAGGTATACAACAATACAAACATTGTCACATTAGAAAACATGGAGGACATTGTGTCACATTAGAAAACATGGACAGGACATTGTGTCACATTAGAAAACATGGACAGGACATTGTGTCACATTAGAACATGGACAGGACAAACATTCCATTTGTTATTGACATATTTTGACAACATATACATCAGAGGTTAGTGTTAATAAACATTAAAAGATCTACCTGAAAAGTTGGTATAAAAGAACAGATATATTTTCTAATTTCTAAGTGGTAATTATGGAGGCAAATATCTTTTCAATAACCTAAATTATTGATTGATGATTGTTCCGTTCTAGGTTAAATTAATGGAGCAAGTACTTCTGGCATCATCTCTATGTTATCCTGAAAGATGGTCTTTTGATTTCCTATAAATCAGCATTAATCCTTTCAAGGAATAAAAGATTTATCAGATTTTGAACGTAGCTGAGTCATCTAAAATCAGTGTGTAAATTAGTAAACTGAAAAACAATAATCTACCATCACCTTTTCCATAATGAAAAACCCATTAAAATAAACTTTACACCTAAATATGAAGAAGAAAAACATTTAATAATAAAATTTTTAAAAAGTTACCATGTCTTGCATTAGTCTGTCTTCTTCCGAAAATCCATTCCTCATGCCTTTTGGAGGAACTGGGGGTGGAACCTTTTTGCCAAGAGTATCTCCTGATGCAGAATCGAAAAATGGCATTGTTGAATTGCTAGTGCCCTTCAGTGAATCTTTAGTCTCCTGAAGAGGAAACAAACAAAAAACATTAGTACAGCTTACTTTGGAGAGTTAACTACAATAAAACTGAGTGTGATAAAAATCAACACTCATTTTCTTCTACATCATTTGTTTTAATTGTCAAACTACACTGCTTAACCTTTTGAAAGCTTTGCAAAGAACAATCACATGCTATTAGAAGCTCATCTGTGTCCATATATCACTTGATGAACAGATTTTTGCAATTGTTTTTCTTTCCTGAAATTCCTGTCCTAGAAAAAATCCCATCTTTATACTCCTGTTCAAACGTTAACTGCTGTTAAAATTAAATTTTTTCCCATAATTTTCTATTTTTTCAAAAAAATAATGGTGACTATATTAATAGTAGTTTCAGTTGTCAGCAATAATCAATAAATTGCTTCGCCGAGCGCAGCTGGATACGACCGCAGCTGGGGCAAAAATGGACGCAATATTCGCACTTGATACAGGTCTGAATTTGGATTGTAATTAAATATTTGACACATAAAAGATTTCTGACACAGAATAACTGTAGTCAAAGAACTTAGAATTGGTTATATGATTTGAATTTATATTCAATTTTTTGATTTTGTGCAATACACTTTGCTGTTGCGAACTGACACCCCCCCACCCACCCACAAAAAAAAAAAAAAAAATTACCCCCCCCCCCCTTTTTTTTGCTTTTGTGCAATACACTATGCTGTTGCATAGTAACCCCTCCGCCCCAAAAAAAAATATAAAATATTTGAAGAATTTTTCTTTTTAATTTCTGAAATCTGAAATGAGAAAAAATACCCCCCCCCCTTTTTTAGCGGTCGGTCGTATAAAAAAGAATTAGAAATGTGTTTCACTCAAATTTGGTGGCAGATGTCATTTTACAGGTACATGTATTTATATATTTTTGTTTTACAGTGGTGGATATGTTTGCTGGATGCTGAGATCCTAAACAATACTTGCACAGCATGTAATCAACATTTAGATTCACTAAAATTTTGCTACAATTTAGAATTTTTCAAATTTTTTATTTTGAAATACAGTGCAAGTGATGTTAGATTCATAATCACAAAACCTGGCCTGTTATAGGATTTTTGGCCCCTATTGACTATTTTAAGTCATCATGGCCATGTTGACTAACAGTGTTCTTCACAGGATGTGTACTTCCATATACCAAAGATCTTTTTTCAATATTAAGCATGAAAATTTACTATTCTTTATATCATTATTTACGTAAACAACTTGATGGCAGCAGCAAAGAAAAGAAGTTACTTGCTTTTGTTAGAAGACAAGAAATTACAAAGGATCACAGATTTCTTTCTGTCCATTAATATCTTCAGTTTAAGAGAAATAAAATGCTCCGCAGGGCGCAGCTTGATACGACCGCAGAGGTCGAACCCTGAACAGTTGGGGCAAGTATGGACACAACATTCAAGCTTGATACAGCTCTGAATTTGGATTGTGATTAAATATTTGACACAGCATAGGTTTCTGACACAGAATGAATGTGGTCTAAGAACTTAAAAATTTTAAATTGGACATTCACCTATTATGGTCCAATATCCAAAATCTAAATACATGGTTAGATTCAGCATATCAAAGAACCCCAAGAATTCAATTTTTGATGAAATGAAATAAAGTTTAATTTTGGACCCTTTTGATCTCAATGTGGACAAAAATGATAACAGGGCCCAAAAATCAAAAATCTAAATACATGGTTAGATTCAGCATATCAAAGAACCCCATATATTCAATTTTTGTTGAAATCAAACAAAGTTTAATTTTGGACCCCGATTTGGACCAACTTGAAAACTGGGCCCATAATCAAAAATCTAAATACATGTTTAGATTCAGCATATCAAAGAACCCTAAAAATTCAATTTTTGTTAAAATCAAACTAAGTTTAATTTTGGACCCTTTGGACCTTTATGTAGACCAATTTGAAAACGGAACCAAAAATTAAGAATCTAAATACACGATAAGATTCGGCATATCAAAGAACCCCAATAATTCAATTTTTGATGATATCAAACAAAGTTAAATTTTGGACCCTTTGGACTTCAATGTGGACCAATTTAAAAACGGGGCCCAAAATCCAAAAACTTAATACACGGTTAGATTCAGCATATTACAGAACCCCATATATTCAATTTTTGTTGAAATCAAACAAAGTTTAATTTTGGACCCCGATTAGGTCCAACTTGAAAACTGGGCCCATAATCAAAAATCTAAATACATGGTTAGATTCAGCATATCAAAGAACCCCATATATTCAATTTTTGTTGAAATCAAACAAAGTTTAATTCTGGACCCCGATTTGGACCAACTTGAAAACTGGGCCCATAATCAAAAATCTAAATACATGGTTAGATTCAGCATATCAAAGAACCCCATATATTCAATTTTTGATGAAATCAAACAAAGTTTAATTTTGGACCCTTTTGATCTCAATGTGGACAAAGTTGATAACGGGGCCCAACAATCAAAAATCTAAATACATGGTTAGATTCAGCATATCAAAGAACCCCATATATTCAATTTTTGTTGAAATCAAACAAAGTTTAATTTTGGACCCCGATTTGGACCAACTTGAAAACTGGGCCCATAATCAAAAATCTAAATACATGGTTAGATTCAGCATATCAAAGAACCCCATATATTCAATTTTTGTTGAAATCAAACAAAGTTTAATTTTGGACCCCGATTTGGACCAACTCGAAAACTGGGCCTATAATCAAAAATCTAAATACACGGTTAGATTCGGCATATCAAAGAACCCCAATAATTCAATTTTTGATGAAATCAAACAAAGTTAAATTTTGGACCCTTTGGACTTCAATGTGGACCAATTTAAAAACGGGGCCCAAAATCCAAAAACTTAATACACGGTTAGATTCAGCATATTACAGAACCCCTTATATTCAATTTTTGTTGAAATCAAACAAAGTTTAATTTTGGACCCCGATTTGGACCAACTTGAAAACTGGGCCCATAATCAAAAATCTAATAACATGGTTAGATTCAGCATATCAAAGAACCCCATATATTCAATTTTTGTTGAAATCAAACAAAGTTTAATTTTGGACCCCGATTTGGACCAACTTGAAAACTGGGCCCATAATCAAAAATCTAAATACATGGTTAGATTCAGCATATCAAAGAACCCCATATATTCAATTTTTGATGAAATCAAATAAAGTTTAATTTTGGACCCTTTTGATCTCAATGTGGACAAAGTTGATAACGGGGCCCAACAATCAAAAATCTAAATACATGGTTAGATTCAGCATATCAAAGAACCCCATATATTCAATTTTTGTTGAAATCAAACAAAGTTTAATTTTGGACCCCGATTTGGACCAACTTGAAAACTGGGCCCATAATCAAAAATCTAAATACATGGTCAGATTCAGCATATCAAAGAACCCCATATATTCAATTTTTGTTGAAATCAAACAAAGTTTAATTTTGGACCCCGATTTGGACCAACTCGAAAACTGGGCCCATAATCAAAAATCTAAATACATGGTTAGATTCAGCATATCAAAGAACCCCATATATTCAATTTTTGTTGAAATCAAACTAAGTTTAATTTTGGACCCTTTGGACCTTTATGTAGACCAATTTGAAAACAGAAACAAAAATTAAGAATCTAAATACACGGTTAGATTCGGCATATCAAAGAACCCCAATAATTCAATTTTTGATGAAATCAAACAAAGTTAAATTTTGGACCCTTTGGACCTCAATGTGGACCAATTTAAAAACAGGGCCCAAAATCCAAAAACTTAATACACGGTTAGATTCAGCATATTAAAGAACCCCAAGAATTCAAGAATAAAACCCCATTGAAATTGATCAAGAAATAAGCAATTTATACGAAGTATCTTCTTTTGCACAATACTGTGCAATTGATTATTTCTTGCTATTGCGCAATACTGTACAATTGACAATTTCTTGCTATTGCGCAATATTGTGCTATTGGATATTTCTTGCTATTGCGCAATACTGTGCAATTGAAGATTTCTTGCTATTGCGCAATACTGTGCAATTGAAGATTTCTTGCTTTTGTGCAATACTGTGCAATTGAAAATTTCTTGCTATTGCACAATACTTATTATATAATAATTTACACATCCTGTTTGGTGTGTATCTCCTACCATATCATTATTATTTGCTTTTAAATATAAATCAGAAATAACCAACTTAAAATGGAAAATTTTAAAAGAAAAAAAAAAGGAAAAAAAGAAAAAAAAAAGAAAAAAAAAAATCCCCCCCCCCAAAATGTTTTGAACCCCCTTATGATTCATCACCCCCAAACTCAATCCCAGCCTTCCCTTTGTGGTATGGTACCTTGCAGTACAATTTCAGAGAGATCCATACACTTGAACACAAGTTATTGTCTGGAAACTAGAAAAATGCTTATTTTTGGCCCCTTTTTGGCCCCCAATTCCTAAACGTTTCGGGCAATTACCCCCAAACTCAATTCCAGCTTTCCCTTTGTGATATGGAACCTTGTAGTACAATTTCAGAAATATCCAAACACTTACACACAAGTTATTGTCATGAAACTAGAAAAATGCTTGTTTTTTGCCCCTTTTTTGGCCCCTAATTCCTAACATTTTGAGGCAATTACCCCCAAAATCAATTACAGCCTTCCCTTTGTGATATGGAACCTTGTGGTACAATGTCAGAGAGATCCATACACTTACACACAAGTTATTGTCTGGAAGTTACAAAAATGCTTATTGTTGGCCCCTTTTTGGCCCCTAATTCCTTAACTGTTGGTACCATAACCCCCAAAATCAATCCCAACCTTCCTTTCATGGTATTGAACCTTATGGTAAAATTTCATGGAGATCCATTCACTTAAACTAAAGTTAGAGTGCGAAAACCAATGTGTCTTCGGACGACGCCAGACGACGCCGGACGACGACGACGACGACGACGACGACGACGACGACGACGACGCCAACGTCATACCAATATACGACCAAAAAATTTTCAATTTTTGCGGTCGTATAAAAAAATCACTCAACATGCTCAATGACCCAGGATTTTCACATATAAAACATTGGTCAAATCAGTGAAATTCATGTATCAATTGCACAAGTTGGATGGATCACTTCATTATTGGTCGCTGGCAAAAAGCTTCAAGAGGAGTGGTCTGTAAATGTTTAACAACATGGACAACAAGAGGAGTGGTCTGTAAATGTTTAACAACATGGACAAAAACAAAATATTAACCTGTACTGGAGGTGTAACTGGCATAAATTGCATTCTTCTATCTATAGAACCTTCTCCTTCAGGTAAAACTCTGTTGATCATATCTCCATCAACACCCAATCCAACCTATGAAGACACAAAATTTCATTATTTTTGGACAAGTAATGCATAGAACTTTCAAAAACTCTATCTTATATCATAAAATAAGTCTAAGAAAATACTAACTCTTACATTACAAAACCAGTCCAAGGCGGACCTTTTTCTTCATTTCCATTTAAAACATTGAAAAAGAAAGAAATTCTTTTATCAATTTTCAGTAAAAAAAATTAATGGAACAACTAACCCAGAAGCATATATCTTACTGCATGGAAAAGTATGCATCAACTAAAGAGAAAGCTGCACTAAAAAGCAAACTACTTATTTCTTACAAGTTACTATTCAACTGCAAAAAACACAAATTTGAACATTACACATGCTTAGCAACATTTATTTTGGAGAAAAATGATATAAATGATATACAGATAGTTTTGTTACAAAATCTGTGTTAAAATACTGATGTGCAACTCCTCTGTAAAATATGTTTTAGCTTTCTTAACTGTAAAATGCAATGAAAGTTTTTAAAAATACTCTTTTACAAGAAAGCTACACACAGTTTGTTCATGAAATTAACTTTACTCTTATCCCTATACACTGAATATATTTGAGTACAATAACTGACAGTTAACAATACATATACAAGCAAGAGATTGGTCAAGGTCATAAAAGATGGTCTGAAGTACATAAGCTAATGTTTAGTTTTATGTTGCAAATTAAATAAACAGTTGGATAGTAGGAGAGTTCCATTAATGATATCTGCTAGTTTCTGTAATATATTAAACATCAAATATACATGATTATAACTTGATTAGCAATATTTTTCAATCATTTTAATGTCAATTTGATTAATTAGAAAGCTTGCATATTCTGTTTATATAAGAAAATTTTGGAATATTTCAGGTATAAATATTGTTATACTATTTTGATATTCACTATATTACAACTAGTCACATCTTACGACCAGTCAAGTCTTGTACTTGAATTAGTCTGAAAACATATATACTGTGTGCAGTTTAATAAAAAAAATCCCCTCAAATCCTTGAAAAAGCACTCTTATCATATGTTTGGCTGGAACATTTTCACTTGAAATACTCTAATACAGATGATCAATGAAACTAAAGTGTTTTCATGTCCCTGAAGATGTGTTACAATATACATGCAAACAAATACATAATAGATTTCTTATATTTACAATGTATAAGTTACTTCACTCTTCAAACATTTTTTTTAAAAATCAGTCACAAAATTAAAACAATTTTTTCTAAATTTAACAATACAAAACTCCACTCTGAAGGTTCATGCATTTCATTTTATAAAAAGTCAATTCAATCATTCTGGTAACAACAAGCAATTTGAGGGAAACAGGCAAACATTCAAATCACTCCCATGCACGATATTTCAAACCTCTGGAGTTGTAATAGCGGCTTCAGTCATAACATTTTCAGTCTTCTCTACCAGATCAGTTACTTCCTCTACCTGTGTAGCACATGATTCTGGAACATCTTCCGATGCAGATTCCGTTGTTTTTTCTTCATTCATACTGACGGGTTCTAAATTCAGCATATTATGATCCTGTATTTCGGTCAGCTCAGCTATAGGTGCTTTGGCGTTGTCGTCGTGAGTAGAGTGTGTTGAATGGGATGAGGTAGTACTATGTCGTTTAGTGCTGTCTTCATGCTGTAGGATGAATTTAATCTACTGACTAAAAGTTATCACTAATACTTATACTTATTACTGTCTATCGACTAAAACAATGATATCAGCAATAACAGAATAAAATATCTATTGATCTACTGTGAATTCATTATCATTCGTGGGATACCAATTTTTGTGGATTTCAGGGGTAAAGGTGAACCAAGAATTACGATGTTCAACAAAGTACAAATTTTCTATTGGCTTGTATGCAGACTTTGCCGAATTCACGAAAACATATGAATCCACAGTATTGTATATAAGCTGTAATGCATGATCAGTACTTCATGCTTTGAGAAACCAACTAGAAATATCTTTTTATACATATATCTTATTATATAATTCAAAATGAAGGGTAGAACCAACCCATTCAAAATAAAACACTCCAATAAACCATTCAAGTAGTGCCATGTAAACCAAAATCTACCACAGCAAAGCAATACTACAGCAGAAAACAAGAAACAAAAATTAAAAAACAATTGCTCTGGTAAAACTATTTTTTGATAAAACCCTAAACTTTCATGGCCAAATAAGACTGCACCCTTTACATAAAAACAAGAAATTATCAATGATTATATCATAATACCTCCCTAATAAAATGCTTCGCTGGGCGCAGCTTGATACGACCGCAGAGGTCGAACCCTGAACAGTTGGGGCAAGTATGGACACAACATTCAAGCTTGATACAGCTCTGAATTTGGATTGTGATTAAATATTTGACACAGCATAGGTTTCTGACACAGAAAGAATGTGGTCTAAGAACTTCAATTTTTTTAATTTACCTATTATGGTCCAATGTCCAAAATCAAAATACATGGTTAGATTCAGCATATCAAAGAACCCCATATATTCAATTTTTGTTGAAATCAAACAAAGTTTAATTTTGCACCCCAACTTGGACAAACTTGAAAACTGGTCCCATAATCAAAAATCTAAACACATGTTTAGATTCAGCATATCAAAGTACCCCAAGAATTCAATTTTTGTTAAAATCAAACTAAGTTTAATTTTGGACCCTTTGGACCTTAATGTAGACCAATTTAAAAAACAAGACCCAAAATTAAAAATCTAAAAACACGTTTAGATTTGGCATATCAAAGAACCCCAATAATTCAATTTTTGATGAAATCAAACAAAGTTTAATTTTGGACCCTTTTGACCACAATATGAACCAATTTGATAGCGGGCCTACAAAATAAAAAATCTAAATACATGGTAAGATTCAGCATATCAAAGAACCCCATATATTCAATTTTTGTTGAAATCAAACAAAGTTTAATTTTGGACCCCAATTTGGACCAACTTGAAAACTGGGCCAAAAATCAAAAATCTAAATACATGTTTAGATTCAGCATATCAAAGAACCCCATATATTCAATTTTTGTTGAAATCAAACAAAGTTTAATTATGGACCCCAACTTGGACCAACTTGAAAACTGGTCCCATAATCAAAAATCTAAACACATGTTTAGATTCAGCATATCAAAGAACCCCAAAAATTCAATTTTTGTTAAAATCAAACTAAGTTTAATTTTGGACCCTTTGGACCTTAATGTAGACCAATTTAAAAAACGGGACCCAAAATTAAAAATCTAAATACACGGTTAGATTTGGCATATCAAAGAACCCCAATAATTAAATTTTTTATGAAATCAAACAAAGTTTAATTTTGGACCCTTTTGACCTCAATATGAACCAATTTGATAGCGGGCCCACAAATAAAAAATCTAAATACATGGTAAGATTCAGCATATCAAAGAACCCCATATATTCAATTTTTGTTGAAATCAAACAAAGTTTAATTTTGGACCCCAATTTGGACCAACTTGAAAACTGGGCCAAAAATCTAAAATCTAAATACATGTTTAGATTCAGCATATCAAAGAACCCCATATATTCAATTTTTGTTGAAATCAAACAAAGTTTAATTTTGGACCCCAACTTGGACCAACTTGAAAACTGGGCCCATAATCAAAATTCTAAACACATGTTTAGATTCAGCATATCAAAGAACCCCAAGAATTCAATTTTTGTTAAAATCAAACTAAGTTTAATTTTGGACCCTTTGGACCTTAATGTAGACCAATTTAAAAACGGGACCCAAAATTAAAAATCTAAATACACGGTTAGATTTGGCATATCAAAGAACCCCAATAATTCAATTTTTGATGAAATCAAACAAAGTTTAATTTTGGACCCTTTTGACCTCAATATGAACCAATTTGATAGCGGGTCCACAAATAAAAAATCTAAATACATGGTTAGATTCAGCATATCAAAGAACCCCAAGAATTCATTTTTTGATGAAATCAAACAAAGTTTAATTTTGGACCCTTTTGACCTCAATGTGGACAAAGTTGATAACGGGGCCCAAAAATCAAAAATCTAAATACATGGTTGTATTCAGCATATCAAAGAACCCCATATATTCAATTTTTGTTGAAATCAAACAAAGTTTAATTTTGGACCCCGATTTGGACCAACTTGAAAACTGGGCCCATAATCAAGAATCTAAATACACGGTTAGATTCGGCATATCAAAGAACCCCAATAATTCAATTTTTGTTAAAATCAAACTAAGTTTAATTTTGGACCCTTTTGACCTTAATGTAGACCAATTTAAAAACAGGGCCCAAAATCCAAAAACTTAATACACGGTTAGATTCAGCATATTAAAGAACCCCAAGAATTCAAGAATAAAACCCCATTGAAATTGATCAAGAAATAAGCAATTTATACGAAGTATCTTCTTTTGCACAATACTGTGCAATTGAATATTTCTTGCTATTGTGCAATACTGTACAATTGACAATTTCTTGCTATTGCGCAATATTGTGCTATTGGATATTTCTTGCTATTGCGCAATACTGTGCAATTGAAGATTTCTTGCTATTGCGCAATACTGTGCAATTGAAGATTTCTTGCAATTGTGCAATACTGTGCAATTGAAAATTTCTTGCTATTGCACAATACTTATTATATAATAATTTACACATCCTGTTTGGTGTGTAACTCCTACCATATCATTATTATTTGCTTTTAAATATTAATCAGAAATAACCAACTTAAAATGGAAAATTTTAAAAGAAAAAAAAAAGGAAAAAAAGAAAAAAAAAGAAAAAAAAAATCCCCCCCCCAAATTTTTTGAACCCCCTTATGATTCATCACCCCCAAACTCAATCCCAGCCTTCCCTTTGTGGTATGGTACCTTGCAGTACAATTTCAGAGAGATCCATACACTTGAACACAAGTTATTGTCTGGAAACTAGAAAAATGCTTATTTTTGGCCCCTTTTTGGCCCCCAATTCCTAAGCGTTTCAGGCAATTACCCCCAAACTCAATTCCAGCTTTCCCTTTGTGATATGGAACCTTGTAGTACAATTTCAGAAATATCCAAACACTTACACACAAGTTATTGTCATGAAACTAGAAAAATGCTTGTTTTTTGCCCCTTTTTTGGCCCCTAATTCCTAAAATTTTGAGGCAATTACCCCCAAAATCAATTACAGCCTTCCCTTTGTGATATGGAACCTTGTGGTACAATGTCAGAGAGATCCATACACTTACACACAAGTTATTGTCTGGAATTACAAAAATGCTTATTTTGGCCCCTTTTTGGCCCCTAATTCCTTAACTGTTGGTACCATAACCCCCAAAATCAATCCCAACCTTCCTTTCGTGGTATTGAACCTTATGGTAAAATTTCATGGAGATCCATTCACTTAAACTAAAGTTAGAGTGCGAAAACCAATGTGTCTTCGGACGACGCCGGACGACGCCAGACGACGACGACGACGACGACGACGCCAACGTCATACCAATATACGACCAAAAAATTTTCAATTTTTGCGGTCGTATAAAAATGCATTGTGACATGCAACAAAACAAAATAAAGGAAACTTCATAGGAAAAGCCTTCAAATATGAAATCCAAAAGGCAGGAATAACACTGCCACAAAATAAACAAAAGAAAAGCTATGTATCCTGGTATCTGAACAGTCATGCTAGGAAGGGAATTACTGTAAGATCCAATTTTAGCATTTTCAAAACCCCAAAACAAAAACAATTGCAAATGACAGAAACAAAGTTACTGGCTGCATGCTTTGTAAGAATGAGCTCAAACCTTTGTTCCTTTCTGCTGCAACTCTTCCATCCCTGGTAAAGCCCAACCGAGACCTTTCCCTTTCTGAAATAATACATCATATTTACATCTTTATGTATGAATATGTTTACTAAATATCCTTTATGTACAATTACTTTCCAGTTAATAACTACTAACATGAATCGGAAATTCCTTTGAGACATATCTTATTATAAGTATCTTAACTATTATCTAAGATTATCACTAATAAAGCTGATTTCAACTGACAATTTACCAATGATTAAAAATTAAATAATAAACAATGTGTATTTATAAATACATAATTCAGGCCAAAAAAAAAATAAATGTCTGTTTAAGGTTATATCATTAAAAAAATAGGGTAGGTAGGTCGGTATTTCCATTTTTAAATTTTTTTTCATTTTATTTTTTTTGACATGATAATGAGTCATGCGGTCCTTCTTGTCGTGGTCCGATGTTGTCCATGGGTCCAGTTTACCCGTATTTTTAATAATTGGATTATTTCCCATTGTTATTGATTGGAAAAAATGGCGGCAAAGTGTTTTATTTCATCACGAGTTGCGAATTTCCTTAAAACAGCTGTCATATTCACGATTGTGAACATTAGGATGTATCAGGCAAAGTGATTTCTTTTATTGGCAACTCTAACTACGCTTTTGACACAAGTTCAATTAACTTTTCACTTCAAGTTGGAAATAAAATGACTTAGGGTTGGCGCTCAAAAGTAGGGTCGGTCGGGTAACCGTAAACAGACATATATTTTTGTTTGGCCTCAATATAAATAGAAAAGAGTACAAATGTTATTGGGTGAACTGAACTACCATGCAGTTCATATATCACATCCTATACAGTATGAAATTAGCAACATACAGTACAGGAAATATGACTATCAAGACTAGGGTACTACATCATTATATGTTAAGAAATGTTATATTTAGAGGAATGTAAACAAAGCAAACAGGCAAAAAGTGTTGACATAAATAAAAGATGGGGGTGGGAATATTGATAGAAAAGTGTAAGAAAAAATGTATGGAAATAAAAGGAATTGGTGCAGTCATGAAAAAGAAACAGTTCAACAAAACTATTTGACATGAAAGTATTAGTGAAACAATCATTACATTGTGAGCTCATGAACAATATTAAGAACAAGTTATAAACCTAATAAAGGTTGTTATACAACTATTTATTAGTAACCATTGACAAGCTTTAGTATGACATTTGTCATGCTTGTGATATAGCACCTGTTTTGGACTGACCTTCACCTCTTCTACCGGTTTTACTTCCTATATTAATAATACACACAAATATATCATAAACTGTATATAATTTTTTTCAAATCAATAAATCATGAAAACAGAAACAAAATGTTACTTTACAATTAGATAATGTGTAAAAAAAATGTTAAATCAATTTACATCATTTTCAAAAGTAGTACTACTTGAAAACAAAATTCATTTATTGTCCATGAATTACTTTTCAAAATATAATTACTCGTAAGATTTTTTTTTTCAAGAATTGAAATATAAGAACCTCTTGCACTATTTCCTCTATTACTTCTTCAGGTGGTTTCTCCTCAACTTTTTCTTCTTCATCAGAACTTGGTTCAGCAGACATTGCAAAACAGCTTGTTGATTTATGTTTTTTCTTATTTTTGGGAGTTTTCTTTTCCTTTTCCTTTTTACTTTGTTTTTCCTTTTTCTCTTTTTTAGACTTTTTCTGTTTTTTGTTTGCTTCTACAACTGGTTCTTCTGGTTTTGGGGTTTCCACTTCAGCTGGTTCATCTTTCAGATTTATCTCCTCCATTTTTTCATCTTCTTTCTGTTTTGCCATGACCAAAGCTATAGCTGTTGGTACACGTTCCTCTACAACCTCTTCTGCAGACTCTCCCGTCTTTTCTTTTTCTGATTCTGTCTTTTCAACATTTTTATCTGATATCTCTTCTATGCCTTGTTCTACAACTGCCTCAGTTTTTTTATTTTTCTTGGATTTTTTCTCATCCTTTTCCTTCTTTTTCTTCTCCTTTTCTGCTTCCTTTTCCTTCTTCTTCCTCTCTTTCTCTTCTAGCTTTTCCCTTTTAACCCTCTCCTTTTCTTCCTGCATTTCCCTTTTCTTTCGTTCTTTCTCTTCAGCAAGTTCTTTCTTTTTCCTTTCTTTCTCTTCTTTTTTTAATCGCATGCTTTCCTTTTTGTCCAACTTTGGAGCAACATTTTCATTCCCAGCCTCTTCGTTAACTACCTGTTTTACAACTTCTGGTGTTTCATCATTTTCTTTCACTTTTTCACTGACACTATCCCCAGAGCTGTCATCAATATATTTCATCTTTTTGACATTTTCTTCTAACGTATTTTCAGATTTGACAACCTTTACCTCAATAACACTCTCCTCTTTCTTATCATCTGATTCAACAGGTGTATTTACCTCCTTTGGTTCTTCTAATTTAGATTTTTCTTTTGTTTCCTCCGATACAATATTTCCACTATCATTTTTAATATCTGTGACTACAACAGTTTCTATGACTTGTCTAACTTCCCCTAATTCATCTTGTAATCCCATTCTGTTCTTCTTGTCTGCAGCTTCTATTTCTTTTTGATATTTCTCAAATTCTTCAGGCTTCAGTTCTCTCCGTGTATGTGTTAAAACCTCTTTTTGAATGGTTTCAGTCCTTCTTTCAGAACGATGTGATACAACTTGACTACCATCAGGCGATACACACTTTTGTTCAGAAACTACAACATCAAAATCCCTTTTTTCATCCACTTTTCTCTCACAATTATCCTTTTTATCCTCAACCAATATTTCCTGATTATTTTGTTTTTCATCATGAACTTCACTTGATACATTTAAATCTTTCTGAACCTCAGTTTGGATGTCCTGCTTGACTTCAGATACTGTTTCTGTTTTAGTAACTTTCATACTATCAACTATGTCTTTCTTCTCTGTAGTCACAGTTTCTTTTTCATTCTCTATTAGCTTTTCTTCTACAGATATTACAGGACTCTCTTTTACTTTAATTTCAGTTTTTTCTTCAACCTCAGTCAGTTTTACAGGAATAGTTTCTGTTTCATTACAATTAACAATTTCAACCCTACGTTCACTTTGTTCCTCTTCTACAATTGTTTCTACTTTTATTTTGGGTGGAGTTTCTTCTATGGGAGATTCTACATGATAAGAGCCACACACCTCCTCATCATCACTACTATCGCTACTTAAACTACCTGTCTCCGATCCAACATGATTACAAATCACTGGCTTATCCACTGATTCTGTTTTATGTACTTCTGTAAATACTTCATCTTCTATAATCTCATTAGGACCGTTACATGTTTTTTTTTTAACTTCCTCCAGTTTGTTGATGGTCTTATCCTCTATTACAGTCTCCTCTTGTTTTATAATTGTTTTAATTTCCTCTGACTTTGACAAAACTGCTAAAATTTCTCCTTCAACTTTATTCTCCATTATTTTCTCAACATCTTTGGTTTCTTTTTCGGCAGCTACTTCCTCAGTAACTTCTTCCATTTTAATTTCCTCAGTTTTAGTATTTGAGTTCCTTCCTATACAATAAGCATCACCTTCCTCGATAACTTTTTCAGAAGTATCTACATTTGTGACCGTTTCTACAACTTTTTCTTCAACCTGTATTTCTGGTTTCACAGTTTTCATTTCTTCTTTAGTAACCTCCGTTATCACTACCTCTCTTATTTTTTCAGAAGCTTCAATAACAGCAGGTTGGACAATATTGGTGATTTGTGTTTCTTTGACTATTGTCTCTTTCTACAGAAAAAGATAAGATAAAATTAGCCGTACAGCTAATATTATTTATTTTATTCTAATTGAAACTCATGCCTTGCGTATTATTTCCATGCCATGCTCAATTACAAGTATGCAAAATATCTGGAGTCTTTGATCAATTTTTTCTTTTCACAAATCTGATAACAAATGGCTATAAATTTTCACCATGCTTTGGTAAAACTTTGATGTCCATGCTGAATGGCAAGATAATTTCATGCTGCTTGGCAGCCAGTAGATTTATCATCTTGCTCTATGTGTCCATGCATAATTTTACCTCTTTAAAACTCCATTGTGCTAGTTCATTACTGTTCCAAGCTTGTCATGCTAATTCTCAATCTATAATTAGTTCTTCACAAATCTAGGATAAAAATATACACAGTAATTGTCATATTACTTCCTTTTAAAAGTACTTTGTGATGTTTCAGGAAACACATCATCTTGTCACTATTGTCGTACTTTGTTAAAGGAAGTAAGATCATGCTGTAAACTGTAAGTATCAAAACATGCTTATTTCTACATAATAAATTCTATAAAAAAAACAAACAAAATGCTTATAATAATTACTTCTATTTTTAACTACAGTTTTCTTTTCAAGAAGCAAACCTATATGACTTTTAGGCCCAGTCCCTGCTTTACACACTTCAAACACAAGCTAGCCAAGTAGGGGAAGTCATAATAGATAATACTTTAAAATCTTAATATACTAAGTACACAATATAATTTAAATGTACCAGGAAGTCATCAACATTGATTGAAAAAATCAAACAAATGTAAAAGTTTCAGAAACATCTTTATAAAAGCAGAGGCATTTCTAAAAACTAATTTCCCCAACAATAAAAGCAACATGGCAGACTATTCTACAATGCAAAATTTAATATACTATGTTGAAACAGGAGTTACATATATATATATATATATATATATATATTGCTGGAAGCTATATTTTATGTAAAATGTTTGAGAAATTAAATTTATATATTTATGAATATAAAAAATACATGTAAAAATTTTATAAATAAAATGGTTTTAAGCATATACAAATGCATTGCCCTACTAATATAATTTTTAAGCAAGCAGGTGTGTTTTTTAACCTGATAAGCTGAATCAGGGCTCGTTGGACTTCCAGGAGGAGAATCAATGTCAGTTTCCTTCCCCTTTCCTTTCTTAGAATCCTTGTCCTTTGGAGACCTGAGCCTTCCGAAGAAACCAGATTTCTTGTCTTTAGATTTGTCTGACTCTTTTCTTTTAGATTTGTCGCCCTTCTTTTTTTCGTCATCAAATTTATCAGACTTTCTATGACCATCACCTCTATTCATTTTAGGATCATCACCTCTATTCATTGTAGGATCATTATCTCTATTTAATTTATCTTCGGCATCTCTTTTCCTTCTTTCAGCATCATCATCATTTATGTCAGTTTCAGGGGAGGCAACTGACTTTTGTTTTTCTGATACCAGTGGCGCTACAATTCCAATTCCAGGCCCAGTACCCATATTGTCATAAGAATCATCAATTGTTGTCTCAGCCTTTGGCTGTTGTTCTAAATCCTGTTTTGAAAAGGATTTTTGAAATTACAAAATCAGGTTTACAGAAAAATAAAATGCTCTTTTCTGCATTTTTTTTTAACTGAATGAAAATAGTAATTAATAAACTTAAAAATATTTGAGAAAAAAGTCTCTTTTAAATAATAATGATGATAAAATAAAATTATTGAATTGAAAATTAAAAAAGAGTTGATATTTTTAAAACTGCAAACAAAGAAACTTAAAAGTGAAATCATAAATGAGTTCCATTAAACAAAAAGGAAATTAGTGGTCTAATGCTTATATGTAATATGGGAATAAATGAATTTTAACCTTTCTAGAATCAGCTCCATCTGGTGGTGCTGGTGCAGTTATCTTCCCCTGGTATAACATAAATACATGTTAATATGATGCACAAACGTTTTGTTAAATACACACTACATGCTTCAATACAATCACAACTACACTTTGTTATTTAATTTACCTTGATAAAAGCATGTTTTTAAAATTACATTAAACAAGAAAAAAATAATTGCTGCATTATAAATACTTCTAAAAATATATCACAGAATTTTTGACGAGGTGATATTCAGTGAAAAATTATAAATGATCAGAAAAACTTAATAATTGTTGTAGCTGTTTTGGATATAAACTTATGGTAGAATATCTGACACTAAATGGAATCTTCAGTTCTGAAAACATTTTATTCAGATCTTACTAGCCAGTATATTCAATCTATGCTTCTCCAATTTATCAGGGAGAAACTGAACCTGCTCTAAAAAAAGACAAGTCAGTTTCTGCTCATGCAACTAGCCTAAAAATACAGTTGGGTCCCTTTAGGTCTCTTGACACTCTTCATATTCTTAACTTTGAGATTTTCTGTTTCAAGAATATCAACATCTTTCTTACAAAATTTTCAACGATTTGGGTTAACTTCAAAAACTTTCCTTAAAACAGCAATGAAATACATGGAGAACTATAAGAGATAATATACCATATACAATTGCCAAGAAAAATCCATTGAAAGACTGTCAAATGTTTAAAAATAAACAAACCAAAGTAAGAACTGGGAGACGCTTAGATTTAACCTGCCGTTTGGGGTCAATAAAATCTTCTTCAAGAAACTTACAGAATCCAGACCTGCAGATCCTGGGTAATGTTCACCATTCAAACCTAGTGTTGCTGTTTCATCACCCTGAAACATTGTATCATCAGTATAAGTATCCTTTTAAACCTCAAATTTATAATAATAGGAATATTTAGATAGTTTTTTCTTATGTTGTGCTGTTACACCACTGTCCCTGGTTAGGGAGCATTGGGCACTTGCAAAAATGATTAACCCCACCACATTCTGTATGTGTGTGTCCCAAGTCAGAAGCCTGTAATTCAGTGGTTGTAGTGTGTTGATGTATATCATATTTGTTTTGTTTTGTACATAAATCAGGCCATTAGTTTTCTTGTTTGAAATGTTTTACATTTGTCATTTCGGGGCATTTTATAGCTGACTATGCAGTATGGGTTTTGCAAATCATTGAAGGCTGTAGGGTGAAAATTAGTTGCCAACTTCTACATCATTTGGTTTCTGGTGGAGATTTGTCTCATTGGCAATCATATCACATCTTCTTATTTTCATATGCAATGTTTTTCAATAACTTTTAATTTTAAACTTAAACTTCATCTTTCAGACAAGGTTTGTAGATTGTGAGGGGTTACAAAAGTTACATTGACATGTGATTATTTATACTTCAGATGTACTTCATGTTTTTATATATCTGGAAATTTACATAAACTGCAATTTATGAGAAAGGCCTGGTGTTATAAAACTATGTCACCATCATCTTGGAGAATAAAGTTTTATTATAGACATTCATATCTATTTGAATTATAGTCCGTAATAATTTTAGTTCATGAAAATAGGATAGTCAATCAAACCTTACCAATTTATCTGTTCTGTCTTCAGCACCTTTTCCCTGTTTTCTTTCTTTTTCTAATCGTTTTCTTTCCTTCTCCTCTTCCTTTTTCCTTCTCTTTTCTTCTTCCTTTTCTCTCTTTTCTCTTTCTTTATCTTCTTTTGACTTTTTACCTCTTCTTTGAGCTTCTAAGGTAGCTGCATCACCAGCTCCAGGTGACCATTCTTGTGTAGCATCCTAAAATACAGATTCCATGAAATGTTTTCACACACCGCATTGGTTCATCTTAGACTGGCTCTTAGTTTTGTATGTTTCACTTTTTATTGGATTGATAAGTCAAAACCCTACAAAAATTCTGTGAACCAACTTGTTTTAGGGATATTCTCATTTTCTTGTTTTATTTATACAAGGGAAGATCCAAGTTTCACATATTCGCGACGATTTAAATTTGCGTTATTTTTCAACTCGTGAAAGTAACAAAAATAAATCTCTCGTGAATACTAGTTGGTTTACAGTATTACATATACTTCTGGATTTGTTACAGATAACTTTGTTTGGAATACTACCAAGTATTGAAACTTTTGACAAGTTTTGTGCATCTTATATTTGCTGTATGACCATGTGAATACTTTATCCCCTTAAAATTATCTTACTTACAGGTCCAAGGATGACAAAACGAGGACCAATTCAAAAGAGAAAACTAATGGCCGTCAGCTTTATAATAAAACAATTATACTGTTACAAAATTTTTGTGTCAAAGGGAATTCAATGTTTCTATATTATACCATAAGTAATGATTTTGCTGTGTCTGTGTATTATTCACACCTGTTCATCCCTTTAAGCTAGTATTGTAGTTTTCAATATTTAAGTGTAGTTTTATTGAAGGCTGTATTGCTGTCTGAATTTTGTTGTGAGATTGCTCCCCCCAAGAAAATTTTGAATAGAAGTTGTCCTTTTCCTGCAACTTGATAGTATTATGAGGTACATTTAAATGCTAAGACATCAACATTCTTTTACTAAATTCCTATCATGAGACAAAAAATTATCTCGATTGTTGTTCAAAGTTGTTTTGTCTTGTAATATGAACTTATAGTGTATGGTACAGCTTCTTGTTTTCAGTTTGTGTTAAATCTCTAACGCATCATGAATATAGTCTGGCATCACAATATATCTAACTAATAGAAAACTTTTAAACAGTTCAAATTATTTATTCAAACTTTTAATGAAAAGACTGTAAAACATGCTTGCATGAAAAGTCTGTTCGGCATAATCTGAAGTGTATGTATTGGTCTTCCTTCTTGTATGAATCGAGATACTTCCAAATCTCAGCATACCCATCCAAAACTCTGATGAAGCTTCTTCTTCTCGTCTTTTCCTTTCAACCCTTCAACGTTTCCTCCATGATACTTATGTTTCAACATCACGCTATGTGGGTCAAACTTGACAGTCACGATCACCAGACGTTTGTAAGACAAACTTATATAATCATTATCAAGCACGTAAAAGACAGACTCCTTTTTACGTTCTGATAACTTCCTTTAGACACAAAATTACATACTGCCGATTTATTTTACCGTAACATCTTTGAAAGGGTAGAAATGACCTATTTGGGCATAGAGCGTAATTTGAGTGCCGATAATCGTAGTGGTAAATAGGTCTGATTATTATTTATTAAATTAATGCTTTGAAAAGACAAATTTGTTGTATTATGTTAACAAATATCTTTTAATTACATAGATGTTCATTCCCAACCAATCAGGTGAAAATAATAGTAAAATAGTATTCAGCATTAAAAATTAATTTAACATAATATAGCAGTATGAATATGCCATGTAACTTACCTCATGACCTGGAGTTCTGTCTGTTCTGTCCTCTGACATATTGCCCATAGAGTTTGGTTTGTCTGCTGACGATTCCAGTGTATTGTAACCATCAGGCCCCTGGCTATCGGTAAAATATGGAGGAGGTCCACTCTCTGTTGATGGGGTTGTCACACCTTTCTGATCTGTTCTATCTTTCTCGTCTGGGTAACCATGATTATAACCTAAAGAAAATTACAATACCTATAAAAATAAGAAGATGTGGTATGATTGCCAATGAGACAACTCTCCACAAGAGACCAAATGACACAGAAATTAACAACTATAGGTCACCCACCTTCAACAATGAGCAAAGACCATACTGCATAGTCAGCTATAAAAGGAATATGGTGTGCTGTATAAAAGGTTTCTCTAATGTTTGACTTATTTGTAGATCTTGTCTTCCTGATCATTCTGCTGCTCAGAGTTGTTTCTATCTATTAGTGTTTTTAAAATCTTAAAAAATTGGCAATATCTCCTACTGACAAATTTGACAAGTGAATTCTTCAGACTATTTTTTTGTTAACAAGATATCGAGAGGATAATTGTCATAAAGTTTGGTTCTAATGAGAGAGAAGATTTTTGCATAGGTTAACAATGACGGATGACCAAGTACCCAAAGTGATGGCATTTTCTTATGCTGGTCCTGTGACCAGGTGAGCTAAAAAATTTACTTTCTTACAGTGAAAGAAATATGCATAATTTAAACCATTAAATATTAAATAGGTTAATTCAAATTCATCAATAAGAGAGATAACTTTCATAGCCTAGCAGGCTGTCTACAAAAACATGATGGTGTTGTACTATACCTTCTGTATTATTTGTTTGTGGCATTGAGCTGTATTTGAAGTGTGATCTGTCGAATTTTGGTTTGTTTTCAATCTTCTCAACTTCATCTCGGACTTGTTTTTGTGTTCTACCAGAATATCTAAACTTTGAGTTAAATCTAGGAAACGTTGAACTTTTCGGTGGATCTGATTGATGTAATCTGAAAAAGGAGGGAGCACATAGCTTAAATTAGAACTAAAATTAATAATTTTTTAAATTTCATAATCAGTACAATAAATACAAAGGATCCTTGAATCTAAACATTAGAAATACCGAGAACTTCTAATTCACAAAAATGTTACTTCATAGGAAGCTTTTTCAGGGATATTATTATGAAAATTCAATCTGATTAAAATGATATCTTTCATCCTGAGAAACTGTACTACTAGACTGCACAATTGTTTTTGTCATTCACCTACATGTGCAGAATAATCAAATATCAACTATTTTGAAAACTACAGCCTCTTCAAAATCCTACTTTGCCTTGTTCATATAAGTAAATTAACATGTGTTAGAAATGCATGTCCCCCTATCATTTTATGAACTTAAGCTACAAATAAAAAGTCCTAATATTTGGGAACCTTTTTTCAGATAGGAAACATAATAGAGAAGATGCTACACCTGGTTTCAGACTGATGACAAGTCGAATTTTTCAATTTTCCTAAAAAGGCTTAAATACAACAATAAAATTACTTTAATGTTCTTTTTGGTTGAATTTTTCTTACAAAGCTTTATTCTTACCTAAAGAAAGCATGGTGTTCAACACAGGTCTTCCATAATCTTTTTGCCATTTTATGATTTTCTAATTTAAAACCAATCGTCTCACCATCTTTTTCATTCTGAAACAAATATTTTTTCTATTTATGTGTTTTTTCAATTAACATTCTTAATATGTAGATTTTTCCTCATAATTCCTATATTTTGATTTGCAATCACTCCATTAAAATGTGAGTCAGTCATTGAAGACATATGTCACCTATTATTTTGCATTTCATCAATACTAGAATTCAATGCAACAACACACAGAATCCATGACTTTTCTTAGGAAACCTCTAAAATTTTAGGTAACGGAACAATCATAATAATGAGGGCAAAACTTCTATTCCTTTAGATAAAAGCACGTCTATTTCTTTATACCAAAGCACAAAGCTATTTTGGTGATTAGCAAGGAGGCAAAATACCTTGATCTGAAAGGATCAGAATATAATCAAAGAAAGCAAGATAAACAATTCTCCGTTCCAGAAGCTAAAGGACCATGGGTAATTTCATTGTTCGTATCTTTTTATTAACACCCAAATAAATATTATGTAAAAAGGCAAATTGTTTAATTCTTTTTATTCAAACTACATTTTGGTTTGTTAATGGACTTTCATTTTGACTAGTTGGTTAAATGACGGGTTAAACAGTTACCATCATGCACAGAGTAGGGAATGCTTATTGTCCCTGAGCACATCATTTCACTCTAAAGTTTGTTTCAGTGTATATCACTTCCTCTCACTTAGGAAATATTATGGTCGCCATCACGATTTGGTTGACCATTATGGAAGGTCCATTTTACAAATGTTTATGAATAAGCTTCCATTGTTGTACTCCTAATCCGTTTTTCTAATACTGACTTTTACTTACTGCCAACTTTTTCGTTACCTATGGACATTGTGACGGGTGCCACATTCATATCATGCCATACATTTGGAAACTAGAAAATCCAACAGAGATTAGGTCACTAGAAAATTTGCCATAGATTTGGGATGGCATGACGTCATATTTACCATAAATCCCGCCATGGATGTGTGTCCTATATATATATCATATTATATTATTCATTATCATACCTCTGTAGGTCTTTTCTTGACATAGAAATTATTCCTTTTGTATGAAAGTTTTAAAATGGCAGGCCACACAAATCTGTTAATTCGTAATTTGTCTTTATATACTTGTATACCACTGGCACAAACACCTAACATTAACTTTACTCCTGTTGAATCCTGAAAAAGAAAATATTTGGTGTTAATCAAAATGCAAAAACCTTCATAATTTATGGTAAACATTTTATAATAATGCAAAACATCAATATTGAGCCTTCAGACGATTTAAAACATGATGCTTAAATCACAATTATCAAAAGGTATACATTTTGAATTCTGTCTGAGGGGCATCTCCACCTGGGCCTAAAACATTTGACAGTTTTTACTATTTAAATTATTACTTGAAGAAAAGAAGACCCCTGGTAAACATACAGCAAATTCAACAATTTTTCCACCTACAAAGGAACATAACTTGAAACTGTAAAAGTGACACCACCCATATTTAAACTTGATCTGTGTTTGGTGGTAATATGCATTGAGTATAAGTTTTATAACATTTGGTTGAGGCAAAGTAAAGTTATAATGTGGAAACAGCAAATTCAGCAACTTTTCCCTTTATAAGAGGACAGAACTCAAGAACTATGAAAGTGAAGACACCCAAATTCCAACTTCATCTGTGTGGTGGTAATAAGCATTGTGAATTAGTTTCATATAATTTGGTTGAGGCAAGAAAAGTTAAAGTGTGGGAACAGCAAATTCAGCAATTTTTGAATTTATAAAGGGACATAACTCGAGAACAGTGAAAATGACACTACCAAAATACGAACTTGATTTGTCCTTGGTGGTAATAAACATAGCATATAAGTTTCATAACATTTACATGAAGCAAACTAAAGTAAAGAAAGGAAACCAATTTCAGGACACATGTACAGATGAACAAAGGGTCAACCTTAATGAAACTGTGGGTGATCTTGTGTTCCAGGAGGGTAGGCAGTTCCTTCTCTCCACTAGTGGCACTCATGGCATTGTTTCTGGCAGGTAAAGATCTTGTGATAAGATGCATTTGGTAATGTCATATCCTTGTAGATAATGACCAAAACATTCTTCTCATATAAATTTGATATAACATTTGAAAGATTAAGAGAGTATCACTGTCTTGAATGTCTCAAAATTATGTATTTTATTCTAGTGAAAACTTACTCTAGCTTGATGTAAATCAACACCATACATAGCTAATTTTTTGGCATTTTCTAAATATTGCAATTCTGCTTCTTCTGGTGTTAAACCTCTGGAAAAAATGAAATTTACATTATTTGGTTATTACAATATTCTAATTCATTGCTTTTGTCTAATTCTAATTTCAATTTTTCCAGAAATACATGCAAAGGGAGATTAAGAGATCTTTAAACATTCATATCATGAAATATATTTCTTTAATTGTGCTTTCAGAAATTATTTTAATACCCCTTCTCATCATGAAATTAATCATTATATTTATTGTAAATTCAATAACTATTTTGAAGATTGAATCAATGCCAAAAGCTACAGGCTGTGGTCACTCTAAAAATGTACGAGTCTTCTTAGGAAGATATGTGTCGTCTGCCAACTCCAGAATCCATGTAAATTATGAAAAACCCAAAAATTACCCAGTTTGAAAAATCAAATTAGCTGGTACACAATATCATGTCTTATACAAGAATTTTACCAAGTAAGTTGAATCCTGAAGAACCATTTTCAGGGAGTTGCTGATAAACAGTGTTGTGCTGACAAAGACGAAGAATGACAACAGAAGTGATTTCTTAGCATTGCTATAGCAAGACGCTGTCGGATAATACATTAAAAAATCTTATTTAAGGTAGTGGTATTCTATTGCATTGTGGCTTTAAGCATATTATTTCAACTAGCATCCTTACTTTTGTACAGACCCAAATTACAAAATTTACAAAACTAATCAAATTTAATAGAAGATGTTTAGAATGCTTTCCAACCAGCCATATCTGCAGTCGTTAGCAAATCTGTATAGAAAATTTTTAAAATCTTCTATAGCATATATTAACATTTCTATTTAAATTACATGAAAAACATGAAAAAATATTCTTTTATACACAATATTGACCTACTTACTTGTGTGTTTTGTGTAATTCATAAACTTTGGATCTCATTTCTGGTGATTTGTCTGGTGCATATTCTATTTTATCTAAATAACTATCTCCTGGACCAAACTCATACTCATCAATATTGTCATAGTCACCAACTTCTGCCTGTACCATGTAAGAGCCAACAACAGCCAAGGTGGTAAAGGAACAGGGTAATCTATAAAAATAAATTTGTATCATCTAAGATTTCAAAACATCATGAACAAAACTAAGTCCTAACATAAAAAAAAAAAACATTTTGAATTTTTTTATTAAGGAAACACCAAATTAATGTCTTATTCATTGTAATGTCCCTCCAAATTTCTGACTTCGTTTTTTTTACACTATACTTCATATGCAGACCACAGATACAATTGGTTTGTTGATTGAAATAAATGGGGAACGTGTCCATGGGACACAGATGATGTCCCGCTTGCATATAATGTTATAAAGGGATATAACTCAAGAACTGTAAAAGGGACGCTACCCAAATTTGTAATTGATCTGAGTTTTGTGATAATAAGCATTGTGTATACGTTTCAAAACATTTGGTTGAGGCAAACTAAAGTGAGAGAACGGAAACGAAAAATTCAGTAATTTTTCCATTTCTAGAGGGCATAACTCTAGAACGGTTAAAGTGATGCCACCAAAATTCAACTTGATCTGTGTTTTGTGGTAATAAGCATTGTGTATAAGTTTCATAACATTTGATTGAGGCAAACTAAAGTTAAAGAACGGAAACCAATTTTGGGACGTACGTACGGATGTACAGACGGACAAGGGTAAAACTTAATGACCCCTCCGCTACAGCGGGGGCATAAAAAGTCAGCAGAAGTGACAAGGCATAGTTGACATTCAATGGTCTCAATATTCTTTCTTTTTTCCCTTTACCTATGTTCACTGAATTCTCTTCATCCCTTTGAATTGTGAGGCCCCCATGCACAGCTAACACTAACTTTTTTACCGCCTCCCCCCTCCCCTATAAATTGGCTATTCAGCATGCTATTTTGATGACGATTTTCATTTAAAAATACTTACTTTCCGTTAAAGATGTCAAATCTGACTTGTAAACAAAGTTGAAACCTGAAATATTACAAGATTATTTATGGAATGTCAAAAATGAGAGTAAATAAAATAAAACATTAAAACTTTTTCTAAATTTTCCCTACAAACAATGTAAAATCAGACTTAAAACTGTAAATGTAGAAGTAAAACTGTAATATCTACTGTAATCAGGCTTGTATAGTTCACACTGGTACATAGTCCGCACCCCATTCTCACCACGAAATTTTTGGTAAAAAACTTTTTGTAACTGTTAGAAAAGATCTAATGAAACTCTGGTAATTTCAAATCTTGTGTGGTCGTATGCGGTATTTTCTTGGAAAAACCTATTTTCCATCAACAAACAGAAGCTGAAACTGCTTGTAAATGATTCTAAAAGCCTTCACGATTGTTAAAATAAGTCTAAATCACACAAAAAACAATTTAGAAACTTGCTTATGTTTAAACTGGAAGTTTGAAAAGCACGTGTAAAAGAAGAGAAAAAACGGTGAGAGTCGAAATCCGTACATACTAGATATCAATATAATAGGACTTTGAAAGTAAAACAGTTCCATCCCGATGTAAAATAGTATTAAATATATCTATCACATTAATGTTTGAAGGGTTTTAAGCTAATAAATAACATATTAGTCAGTATGAAACACCAAAACGAAACGTATAATAACCGATTACGTTTTGTAATTTACACATCATAAGCCGGTTTACTGTTGTCTTTTTTACTTTTTTTGTACAGTTTCATTCAAGCAGATACCAGTTTATTTTATAAGCAATGCATTGAAAAGAAACGAGAAATTTGTTATGAAGTGTTTAATTTTTAAATTTATCAATATTAATTTGATATTGAATAATAATAACTTATTAATATGGATTATGTAAAATTATTAGTTTGAAAAATGATGAGCGCCCTCTACAATATCAATAACAAACATGGCAGAACGAAAATAAACCATCTCGGGAAATTGAATTTTTTCTCTTATTTCTTGCTTATTGTACTCTATAGTCTATAACTATAAAAATAGTTAATTTTGGAGAATAAAACCGCGGACTATACAAGCCTTTTAACGGTACAATTGCACTATCAACATACAACAAATTTTACAACATGTTTGCATAAATATATCTATGATTTATGCAATCCTTTAATGTCAATATGCCTCTAGTGATGTTTTCACATAAATTATATATGAAATGTACTTTAAAGTTTTGTGTAGGTGATTGAAATAAAACATATGTAGTCATGTGTGAATCTAATATTCAGCTGTTGTGTGAAATTATGCACCACCCAATCTCATTTTAATTTTTCAATTTGGTATCACTGAATTTAAAATAGTCTGCTTTACCTATGCTTTTCGTGTGTATATGTGATAAGTTTCATTATAACAATATAATGATTATATTAGCGGCAAAATAATTGGATTCAAATGAGATACACTTGTGAGATGAATCATAAACTTATATTACATAATATTTCTACTGCAAACTGCTCTTAAAACTGAAATAAGGCATCTGCATGTTAATTCACTTCTTTAACAGATGTTAAATTTTCCTTTTAATCCTGATGTAGTTTATCTCACCTAGAAAGGTCCTCTAACATTGCCATGGGTTCTGGTGGATAAAATTTCACTGAAAAGTCAAAAACACTGGTCCCACCTGAAAAAAAGTGCAATGTTATATATTAGTACTTCTGCTACGACTTTATTTTTCTTTGAAGCTATTAATATATATTGTGAAGAGTCTACTTTAAATATGCAAAAGTGCTGAGGAGAAAAAGACAAGTAAGGTGGAGGGCCATAGAATCTGCTTTAAAAACAAGGAAGTTATATTTCAAGTTTATCAGGAAGTCACAAAAAAATTCAGTCATCAAAACTTAGTATGAAACACTTACTTCAAGTTACTTAAGCAATATTAAAACTGGGCCAGTCAAACTACGTAGTAACTTCCAAAATTTTTGCTTATTTTTTTTCAAAAACCAAGTAAATTTTTTGAGGGTAGGTTTATTTGAAGGAGTTTTCCATCCTATTATTGGTAAAAAAAATCTGAATACTTTCACCCGCTGATTTATGTTTTTGCTGTCATATTCCTACAAAATATTCTACATAGTGATACTCTATCCCCTGTTTCATTACCAATTTTATCTGCCATAAATAAGATTTGTTTTGATACTGAATGTCATACATACAATGTACATGTTGTTCACCTTATTTTACACCTGTCTTTTTTTATTAGAGGACACCTGAGACAAAGAAGGTATGATGTCTATTTTATGTACTATATTTGAGACAAAAGTAGGTATGATGTATACTTTATGTAGTATATCACAATAAGATACCAGAACAACTAAGGGGAAATGTTTCAAAGTGTTATACATCTATCATTAAATCAAAAGATAACAATTTGACATGGCCATTAGGGATTTATATGTGTACAACTTAATTGGCAAATGCTAATAGGGAATACCATATTGTGACCTTCTGAACAGTCAATATCATTTCTTCAAATCAATACCAATTATCATGGATTTCATTTGGCCTGTTAAACTTTTTCTGGAATTCCAATGACATGGCAGTCAATCAAATATGACTGACACTGCATGTACATATTTCCAGAAGTAATGAAACTACATACTTCAATCAAATTCAACACAAATTTAAATTGACAGAATTTTTGTGTTGTGGTCATTCATCCTATTAAATATTCATTAATGTTGTTTTTTTTTTTTAATTTATCAAGCTAATAAACCAAGCTGTTAACTCAATTAATACTTCAAATACAACACAGAACTGAGACAATTATACCTTTTAATGACCTAGATATTGGAAATACATATATAATGTGTAAATATTGACATTTCATGTAGGTCAATGCAATCTTGGCTTGAATGAAAACCTGTGATCAGCCATGGATGACCATTTATGATCACATACCAAACAATAAACAATAGGTTAGGCAATCATAAATAATGTCTTGTTGACAACTGATACCCATGGCAGATCTTAATACACTAACAATAGTATTTATCACACTGTGATCTTAGTCTTTATATAAATCTATGGGAGACCATTCAGATTTATAAAACTGTATCTCCTAAGAAGATAGTGTTTTAAATCGACTATTTCAGTTAAATCTGGATTCTTTTTAAAACTGTGATTGCATTTCCTTTCAATGAGTCTAAATTAAAATGTTCAATCCACAGATCTACTGGATATTGAGTTAATAAACAACATTCTAGTATATCTACAAGTGATAGGATACTTAATAGGTCAACATAAGCAGGACCCAGTTAAATGTGAATTTTAAATAAGAAAGCTTTTCTGAGCATAAAACTCAATCTTTTATTTTGCTTTTCAAGAAGAATAACTCTTTTAAGTATTGTTCAAGACTGTATGTCAATTATAAATCTGAAAATATATTGTTTTTTGGTGTGTTGTTGGGTTGTTTGTCTCATTGATGTCGGCATCTTTTGGAAATTCATCTCTGAATAAAATAATTATAACTCCTCAAAATTGTAAGAAGTACTAAAGAAATATAACCATTTAGTTATGTCCTGGTAATTTTCTAATGACGAAATAGACTACAAGACCAGGATAAACTAATTTTCAAAGCTATATGTAACAATTGATGCTTTTCTAAATTATATGTCCAACGATTAAAAGGAAATAAAGAAACCAGATATTAATTTGTGCCTTTTCAACTGTGGAATATTTTTTATTGACTGCACCATTATTTGTGACTATTTTAAATACAAAACATACAAAAAAATACTTTTTAATTATAGTTCACAACACTACCATCAACCCTCTGCAAATACCACAGCCAGTTGAACAGCCTCCCATAGAGACATTTTGTCAAGCTCAGTTTTATGTTGAGGTTTAAAAAACATATTATTTCTGAAACTTACCCTTAACTTGTTTCAATATTTTCTTTTCATTATTCAACCAGAACTGAAAATAAAAATTTAACAATATATTATTGTACATTAAAGACATTCCAATATACAAAGAACAAGTCACTCATGCTTGAAAAGCAAGTTATGGTGACTTAAATTTTTGAACTGACCTTGATGTCTATTCCAAAAATGTAAACTGATGTATAATATTATTCCTCTATGACATGAACTTGAAGTAACTTATACAGAACTTTACCAAGTCATTCATAAATTAGGTAAAAGTAACCTATGACATTGACCTCTGACATAGTAACTTTAAAATCAAAAGGATCTTCCTGTCATAATATGATATATTCACGTATAATCGAAATTCCCCATTAGGTTCTCTGAAACCCCTTTTTCTACTTTTCAGTTACATTAACCTTGATTGTGGATATATGTTGTGATCTAAAAATGAATAGATATGTTTCTCTCTTTATATGTGACTATTTATTTTGTAAGGTTCTTTAGAGTTTTTATGTAACTAAGTACCCTTTTCTTTATTTAAATCAATTTTTTATAACTATGACCTTGACCTAAGAGGTAGTGATCTCAATATCCATAGAGAGATCGTTCATCATATATATATATATTAATATATATCCAAGTATAAAGATTGCAATCTAATATTTATTCAAGCCAGGGAAAAATGATTGTTGGTTTCCCCTAACATTGGAAAATTTTCAAGGCCCGGCAGGCAGGAGTTTTCTTTTTTGTGTGTATCAAATAGTGTTGCTATAGACTGAGTGTAGAACAAATATTTATTTACTTGACAACTGGTATTATACTTATGTGACTTTAATAACATTTAGAACTGGTGTCCATGTATTCAATCTTGATAGAATACTGGCCCTTGGTGCCAAGTTGGCCATTTTGGGGATCTAAACAACAGGGGAGAGAAACGCTTTAAATCATTATCTTTCCAATTATTTAAGTACTTCGGTGATCTAGAAACCAAGGCGAGAAAAAATTACCTTGACATTGGCTTCTAAACAACAAAACTAAAACATATATGAACAAATATTTGTTAACATTGCTGGATCGGAAAAAGACACGGTCGGTTTTTTTTTGTTTTTTTTGTTCAGTCCAAAAAAATAAACGACCCATCAGTTTAAAATAGACCCAGTCGGGTTAGGAGAAACCAACAATCATTTTCCCCTGACCTTATTTATCTATCCTCCAGAAACCCAATTTGCAAGATGAACTGACAGACAGACTGACTGACTTATAACTATATATACTCTAGCTACTTCGTAAGGTTTACAACTAAAACACAATGATCAAAGCCAGTTTCAGTTATCCGATTTTCCTTGACCTTTATGGAAAAATTAAAACATATTACATTTTTGTGCAAAAAATGGCCAACAAAAACCATTCAAAATTGTTTCTCTGGTTTCAATATCTTCAGGCTGGTTATTAGTCATGTATCTCAGTTCTAAATCTTGCATTTGTATACTTACTTTTACATTGTTATTCTGATACTGTAAACCAAAATAATCTTTCTCTTGTAATGTTAAATAAGCACATACTTTATCAAACAGTTCTTTGCCAGTTGCATTTTTCTGAAAGGAAAAAAAAATTCATTCAAATCTGCAAAATAATTTATTACATTACTTCTAATTAATATTTTCTAGATTTTTTCATTTTCTTTACAAACCTGAGTAATCACTGATTGTAAACAAAAACTTAAAAAACCTTGAACATACAGCTCATCAACTCAAATTCTTCATTCTTCTAGGCCTAAAAAATAGTATGTATCCGCTAACATGCTGAAAAAAATTAGGATTGGTATATAGGCAAAAAATTTAATAGTGCTTGTTAGAAAGTGATGAAAAACCTTTAAAGTAGGCACTTAAAATAAGGAAAGGTTGGGTTAGCGGAAACACAGGTACTTTATTTTTGGTCCTACTGTGTAGATAGGGAAAAGACAAAGATTTGGTATCGAAAAATTGCAGTAGTCATCTGGATCACATAATGAAACAGTTGGCACATAATGCTATTATGTAATGAAAGTTTTCCCTGGTTATGATGGAGTAACAGTATAAAGAGGTGAACAGTGAATCTCTTGTCTGCTTTATTGATCATGATTGAATTATGTGTTAAGAGTATTTTGTTAACAGTATCAATTAATAATCCATGAAAATGTGCTCAAAGTCAAATAAATCCTGTGACAACAAATATAGTTGTCCTATTACTTATATATATAAGAAAGAAAATAAAGTATCCGAACACCTTTCGTCTTTTTTAAGCATGATACATGAAAATGAGGTCAACAGTTATGGACATATGCCAGCCATACAGGAATAATGTTGTTGTACCCATATCCCATGCTATAAAGCATACCCCATGGGTAATTCAAAATAATGGAAAACACTGTTATTAAAGCTGCTGATCAAATATGTAGTCATTCTGTTCAGTAGTTTTTTGAGAGGATCCCTAGGTCTTCATAAGGAAACATAGCTATAATAACATGCATCTATTATAATGCAAAAAAATGTCACCTGCAATAACACATAGGTGTGATGATATCCCATTAACAATTTTAATGGAAAATAAGTATTTCCTGTCAAATTTCCCATTTCATATTTCATGATTTAACTACCTTGTTGTTTCAGTGTATGCACACCATTGAAATCTTCCATTTTACACCATGACACATGTTAGTTGTTTTTAAAGAAATCATACATGTTTTTTCAACATTAAAACACTGAATTTTAGTACCTTTTCACTGCCAAATTTTCAGAAATAATAATTTAGAACTGGACATTCTCAAGTCTCAAATACTGACAAAATTCCTTCAATACTAAACAACGGACTAGTCAAAACATTTCTTTTTTAAGCAAAACATGGTTTCTAAGCAAACATTTTGAAAATTATTGTAAAATACAACAATGTAGGCTAATTTCACTGTTTATTCATTGTCAACGCTCATAATGTTCTTCTCATGAATAATTAAAATCTTGCATTTTTACATTTGATTAAATGTTTTATTTTTGTTTTTTTATTTTTGGCAATTTCATCATACATGTAGGCACCAAATTAAATGAACCACAATAAGACGAAAGCCAACATTTCTTTATTTATGGTATGCCATCTCACGTTCTTAAGTCATAAATCCTGCAATAAGTTCAGTGTAAAAAAATTAATTCTGTATGAGCAGTAAATTTCTACTGAATATGTCACAATTGTCCTTCAAATGTACCTACCACCTTCCTGTAATGTGATATACCAAAATAGCACATGTTAATATGTATCATTTTGCATGTCACCAAAATTTCTACATACTGTGGATTCATTATTTGTTGGATACCAATTTTCATAGATTTTGAAGGTATATTTAAAAGGTAAACCATGAATCTATTTGTTCAAAGAAGTATAAATTTTCTATAGGATTGGATGCAGACTTTGGCAAAACCACGAATTGAAATATCCACGAAAATATAATTTTCCTCAATTCTTTAAAATTGGTATCAACGAAAATAAATGAACCCATGGTATATTTTAAATATAAAACCACTATATATTTTTTTCCTATGCTTAGTTTTCCATTTTGTTCCTTTAACCAAAGCTAGCTACAAGTACTTACTGTAACATCTGTTTCATATAACTGTCCATCTAAAAGATGAATTTTACAAAACACCATTTTGCCAGATCTTGGCTTGGCCTTTGATGGTGGTTTTGTTGTTTTAGGACAGACTTCTTTTTTCTCTTCTACCTGCAAAATACAGACAACTTTTAATTTAATTTTCTATTTGTCATTTTTTTTAAAATAAACAAGCATTCTGAGAGTATTGTGTGGCAATACATAGTCCCCTACCGGTTAAAAATCAGTTGTACTGGAACAATATGCTAACTTGATCTATAACTTGTCATGGTGTAAACTATATAACAAATATCAAGTCAATACCTTCAAGCATGATGACAAAAAGTGTGGAAAACTGATTATTTAAGTGAATTTTCTAAGTCCAAGGACCATAACTCTGCACAAAATTATCAGACCAGAACAAAATTCAAACTTGATCTGTAACTTGTCATGATACAACAATATACCAAATATCAAATCAATATCTTCAAGCAAGAAGAAAAAAAATGTGGAAAACTGATTTACCAGACTGACGGATGGACAGACAGACAGACGGACGGAGTGCAAACCTTAAGTCCCCTTCGACTTCATAGGTAGGGGACTAATAATCTCATTCTACTGAAATAGAAAATATAACTTAGAAATTAACCAACTTATGACTTATATATTTTCATTCTATATGATACTAATGAATTATCAGCTTAGACCAATAGTTGTCTTCCTTGCCAGACCTGTGCAGCCCAAGGCTTGATAAATCTCCAAACCTGTAAGAATTTTCAGATGTTAAGTTCAGTCAACAGGGTTGTTATATAATAGTATTTGAACCCAAGTTTTCCAAATAATTTTTTTTTTGGGGTATTAGAAAAAAAGAATGCTAAGACTACAAATCTGATGGTCCAAGTGAAACTCTGATGGTTTTGTTTTGCAGAACAATATTCATTCTTATCAATTATTTCCATTACAGCTTTTCTATAAAAGCATGCAAAGCAAACCTTTGATCGACTTGCTTGCTATGTTTGCTTGGATGTTTGTAAACAAAAGGGTAGGCGGAGTTTCAGTCTGTTTAATATATACTGGTATTTGATTGGACTGTGAGGGGATGGTTCTGGATACAGTGTATGGGGTATATTCCAAGGCACTTCAAATAATACTCAAAGCAGCAAAACGAATAACAATTTAATAAAAAGAAAGTAAAGACATATTCGATTCAACATTTAACACATCAAAACATCTTAGTAACATATAGACAGAAACCCTTGGAAACATTTATGCAAACCCAGGTATAACTCAGCCATCATGACGCCACGAGGCTTGCCTATAGAGCTTAAATTCAGACAGTCAAACCATCTTATTGTAGTTACTTTTAATGTGCATCGCACTCAGACAGGCAACCCGTCTTTAGGCAATTAGTTCATATTCAAATATTTAATTATTTCATTTAAATAACTTCTTTCAAAATGGTAAGCAAAAATAAATAACATTGCAAAATTATCGCAAACGCCAAATAAATAAAGGAACTCAAATGTCAGTCTTGCTCAATATATGAGGGGCCTGATGGGGGGGGTCTCATAACGATTCACGAGTTGATTTTTTTGTCAATCACAATTCACAGAAAATAAATTTCCATGATCACGGATCACGAAAATATAAAAAGAGTATAAATCTGTAGAAAAACGGATCACCATAGCGAATATGCGCCGATCACGAAGAACGAAAATAACCCATCAGGCCCCTCATATATGAATACTAAATAGAATAAATCAAATGTAAATGAAATATTATCAAGCAAATCAATTAGCAGCCTGAAATAATTAAGTAATGAAAAGGGAAATAATCCATTCCTATTACAGGACAATAAAAATTGACATACAATGTGAAACTTAACATTTAAATGAAGTTAATGTTTATTGTCCAATCAAATTCCAGTATATAGTAAACAGACTGAAATAGACTACCTACCTGTTGTTTACAAACATCCAAACAAACATAGCAAGCAAGTTGATCAAAGGTTTGCTTTGCATGCTTTTACAGAAAAGCTGTAATAGCAATAAGATTTGGTCAATAATTTGCTCAATTATTATTTCTTGGTTTCTGTTTCATGGCTTTTAAGGTAGCTGGGGTGTCTTCCTCCATCTTGGATTTTGAAATAGCAGATAGCAATCAGTCTATATCTTTAATGAAATGTGCAAATTTCGAAGGTAGTATGTAATTCATGTGTAAGACTTGTCATGCTAATATAGAAAATTACGTGTTTTATCATATTTACAGCTGTATTTTACAAAAAATACAGAATATTTTTGTTTGATTCACTTTTTCCCCAACTTTGCCACGTAAGGGTAGATAACTCAGATATAAGGGGACATAACACAGATAAAGTTACTTTTATAATAGAATGTGTTGTGAATTTACCTATTTTATAATGTAGCAAGAAACGAGTCCGGTGACCCCATTTTTTCTTTTGCTTATCTGAAAGCATATCATTAGAGCTATCTTCTCATATTTTATCTTAAAATTCTACGGTGCAGTTTTCTTTTTATCACACAAAATTGGATTTTCCATGCATAATCTATACAAAATCTGACAATTTTGCACAACCTGTAGTGTGACAAAAAGCTGGGTGACCCATACTTTTTATTATACCTTTGAAAAAAGTATGACATAAACTACATTTTGACAAATTATTAAAAAAATCTATGGATTTTAATTTAGACCCCCCATCTACCTTAATGTTGTTCTTTGTATTTTTCTTGGATTCTTGATGCCTTGAACCTTTTTTTTTTTAATATATATATATTCTATGCAAAACTGAAACTGCTGCAGAAGAAATTTATATCTCTAGATGATTTAATATTCTAGCTCAAATCTGAGGGCAGAGGATGCGGTACATTGAAAAGGGCAATAACTAACAGACTTAAATTATGTACATTGCCACCTTTATTTGCTTACTTAGGGCAGGATTTTAAAATTTGTTGGTTTACGATTTTTTTACATGAAAAAGTATGGTCGATTGGTCGAAAAAAATATCTTTGAAGACATAAATCTGAACAAAATAAATATATATTGTTATAAACAATCTTTTTTGTATGCTGAATTTTGCCATCATTTCTATTATTTTAGTTTCAAATGTTATTGCTCAGCTGCTTTAAATATACAATGCATGCCATAGTCATTTAATTTTGTAAAAAATGGGGTACATGTCCACAGACAAACAGGAAAATAAAATGGTCATTTCATGAACAAGAAAACACAGCTATACATTGCTTTTTATCATATTTCAGGAAACATGGTGAATAATGAGCTTCAAGCACGAAAGCATGTAAAATAAAAATTGCAAAAACGTTGCACAAAAATAACACTTTACCATGCATGTAAAAAAATGAAGTAGACTCGTCCATTGGAAAGACGTAATATCTGTTTCATCCTTTGTCATGCAAATTGCAATCCCATTTTTGATATCGAAATAGATGAATTTTTTTTTCGATCTACAAAACATGAAAATCCCAAATTGTTTGTGAAAATCTCTTACTTTTAACTTGATGTCTTTCACGTTTGGACGGGTCCATTTCATATATAAGATGTTAAATTTTACAGAAATATGACAAAAAAAGGAAAATGAACTTATTGTTATTGGTTTTTAACACAGGTTTCATTCGTCAAAAATTTCAAGGTCAGCTATGATTTCTATTGTTTCGAAACGCATACTACGGATTTTATTATTTTTTTAGAATACAATTAGTAATCATTTCTGTTAATGTTTAATGCATGCAATTTCATGAAAATGCTGCTAAGCAGATATTTTTATTTATATTTCAGGGATAATGTATTTGTTAGGGTAGACAGGAATAAAAATTCGTAAGGGTTCCGCGGAACCCAGTGTCTCGCCTACTTTTGCTGTTAATCGCAGGCTCAACAAAAATGAGGAAAAAAAATTAATAAAAATATTCCTCTCTATACTATGTTTTGATTGTAAGTAGCTTCTGTCCAAGTTTGGTAAAAATCCAGGATAGTTTATGAATGTAATAAATGTTTTAAAAACTTAAACTGCAGACTGTATGTAATGTTAACTTGAAGAAAAACTAAGTCCATTTATAAGTAAAATACGGAAAAAATGGAACAAAATTTTAACAAAATTTCCTTCTAGATACTAGCTTTTAATCATAAACAAGCTTCTGTCCAAGTTTGGTACAAATTCAGGATAGTTTAAGAAAGTTGTTAAAATTTTAAAAACTTTAACCACAGAGTGAATGTAATGTTTCCTGGCAGAAAAACTAAGTCCATTTATAAGTGAAATACAGAAAAAATGGATTTTTTTTTTTACAAAATTTACTTCTGGATACTATCTTATAATCATAAACAAGCTTTTTTCTAAGTTTGGTAGAAATCCAGGTTAGTTTAAGAAAGTTATTAAAATTTCAAAAACTTTAACCACAGAGTGAATGTAATGTTTCCTGGCAGAAAAATTAAGTCCATTTATAAGTAAAATAAGGAAAAAATGGAATTTTTTTTTTTACAAAATTTACTTCTGAATATTATCTTATGATCATAAACAAACTTCTTAACAAGTTTGGTAGAAATCCAAGATAGTTTAAGAAAGTTATTAAAATTTCAAAAACTTTAACCACAGAGTGAATGTAATGTTTCCTGGCAGAAAAACTAAGTCCATTTATAAGTAAAATACGGAAAAAATGGAATTCATTTTTTACAAAATTTACTTTAGAATATTATCTTATGATCATAAACAAGCTTCTGTCCAAGTTTGGTAGAAATCCAGGATAGTTTAAGAAAGTTATTAAAATTTCAAAAACTTTAACCACAGAGTGAATATTTGTGGACGGCGCCGACGACAACGACGACGACGGAATGTAGAATCGCTATGTCTCGCTTTTTCGACAAAAGTCGAAGGCTCGACAAAAATGCATGAAATTTCAATTTTTTTTTCTGAAAATCTGAAAAATAGGGTCAGGGATCTGTAAACCAACAAATTAAATAAAATGCTTCGCTGAGCGCAGCTGGATATGACCACAGAGGTCCAACCCTGAACAGCTGGGGCAAAAATGGACACAATATTCGCGCTTAATACAGGTCTGAATTTGGATTGTAATTAAATATTTGACACATAATAGGTATCTGAC